GGTAGTGCCTGAAACACATTGTATTTGTTCTTGCGTTTTGTAATTATTTGTTACATAAAATTTCTTGTACCATAATATGTTCAAAAATAAATGCTAAAATTCCTTTATAATACAAAAAAAGAAAACCCCACAAGTATCTAAATACAAATCAATAAAAACTGATTTAACAATTAAAATGAAAGACTTTTTTCCTGAGCCCTAGCTGGTGTGGCTCAGTGGATTGAGCTCCGGCCTGCGAACCAAAGGGTCACCACTTTCATTCTCAGCGTAGGGCACATGCCTGGGTTGCAGGCCAGGTCCCCAGTAGAGGGTGTATGAGAGGCAACCACACACTGATGTTTTTCACTCTCTTTTTCCCTCCCTTCCCTTCTCTAAAAATAAATAAAATCTTTAAAAAAAAAAGATTTTTTTTCCTGAAAGGTTGGGCCAAAAACGTGGGTGTGCGTTATATGTGGCAAAATACGGTAAGTGGATTTGAAATCATATCAAATCAATACACAGTAAGCTCTGGCCCGTATGACTCAGTTGGTTAGAATATCGTCCAGTCCCGTAAACTGAGAGGTCATGAGTCTGATTTCTGGTCAGGGAACATGCCTGGGCTTCAGGCATGGAAAGACAATCAATAGATGTTTCTCTCTCACATCCATGTTTCTCTCCCTTCCTTCCCCTCTCTCTAAAATCAGTAAGCATGTCTTTGATGAGGATTTAAAAAAAAAAAATCAACACACAACAAGAAGAAGCTTTATTTAAAGATGAATAGTTGAAAACAATAACCAGATGAAGAGACTAAGAAGATAGCAAAATATTTTACCCACTAGCTTGGCAAAAACTCCAAAGGACAACAACATGCAGCGATCCCAATTTGAGACCCTCCCTTACACTAATAAAGGCACCGCCATACGCGCAGAGGGCTATTTATTGTGGTACAACTGACAGTGACAGGAGAGGCTGAAATAGAGGAATGACTGAATAAAATACGTAGCTGCTAAAAAGTACAGGTTAGATCTATGTATTGGCTTCAAAGGATGTCTATAATATTTTATTCTGTGGGAAAGATCAAATTGCAAAGCAATACGTATAATATGATTTTGTGTTTATTTTTAAAGAGAAAAGAAAAAGGCAAAATCTCTTATAGGTTTATCTATGTTATACATTATGCATATATATTATATACCTACACTCTAAATATAAATGTATGTATAAATAAACAGCCATTAGAAGCAAGAGATTTAGAGAGGATTTGAAAAAAGACAGATGAAAGAAAGAGAAAGAGAGAAGGAAGGCTGATTTCTTGTTAAATATTAACTTTACTCCCTAAATCTTTGAGTGAAACTGCGGCCAGTTGCTTCTGCGACTTTGTGTACTCCCGGTGCCAATTTAGGAAGCAAGGCCTTCTAACAGTGTAAACTCAGGCAGATGGTGCCTTGGGGGCTAAGGAGGGTTTGTATCAAATCACAGGCAGCGAGAGTCTCCTACCCTCTCACCTGGCCAGCCCAAGCTGGTGGTGTCTTGTGTTTGTTCCTAAAGCTACAGAAGAAGGACAATGACAAAAGGGAGAACCCTAGGGGCAGGCATGAGCACAGTGAGGTAGCTGTAACCTCACTCTGTGAGAATCATAGAGGGCAGAGGACCTGTAAAAAACAAATACATTTAAGTTGAGATGGAATTATTTGCTTTTCGATGTTTGAAGGGCTGTCCTGTAAAGGAGGGAACAATTTAACATATAGTGCCTTAGAAATAAGATAGAGGAAAGAGGAGAAGGCATAAGGAGGCAGATTTCAGCTCAGTGTAAGCAGAAACCTGCCAACTAAGATTCCTTTGACCCCCAATTTTCTCTTCTGTAAAAATAGAAGAATACCACATGCTTTTAAAAAGGACATAGAGATGCATTAAGGATCGAATGGGCAACTGTAAACCAGCAATGTGTCTGCTGGAAAGCAGTGGCCCTCGACTCTGGCTGCATGTTCAAATTACTTGGAAAACAAAACAAAACAAAACAAAACAAAACAAAACAAAAAAAAACTTACTCGGAGAGCTGAAAAAATCCTGATGCTCTCTCCAGCTCCAATCATAACCTCTGGAGATGGGACTTGGGCCGTGGTAATTTTTAAAGCTCTTCTCAGGTAATTCCACCGTATAGTTCCATTGAGAACCACTGATCCAAAATAATTATTAGTTGCCTTCCAGGTGGCTATGGAAAAAGTAGATTTCACCGCAGGCAGATCTGGGGGCCAATTAAAAAAGAAAGTCTGTTAAGCTGTGAATTGAAGCAAAAGGTTAGAGCTGACCAGTCAAAAGCATGATTAACCGTGAAGACAGGTTAAGTAATATTTGTCTCCTTACAGGTCATGATAAGCCACTCACCTCTTTTCCCAAACAGATCCAAGGTGGGAAGATAAGGGAAACAGCGGATGAAGTGGGTGTTTTTGGACTTCAGGATCCCCCCAATAAGCACTTGGGATTCCTCTGCATCAGCTGTGGGCTGATTTTATTGTATATACTTTTATTATCCATGCTCTTTTCCCCACAACCCTGTAATTGACTGAATACGCCCATTAAATAATTAGAGCCCGGAGAGTGATTCTTAATTATAGGCCACAGGGTACTGCTCTCAGCCATTTCTACTTGTTCCAGTTCTATCAGTGATGGCTAAGCTGTCATGCTGGGGCCTGGCAATGGTGGGGACGGGGACACCAACAAGGATATTGGAATAAGGGAGAGGAGGTCGGTCAAGCATAAAGAGACAGAGAAACGTAAAGCTCTTTACCTTCTCCCTCCCCTCTTCCTGGCGCTCCCTCCACTCCCCCATTCCTCCTGTTCAAAGAAAAGAAATCAAGCTAAAAACCACAAACTTGATTGCCTAAGGCCACATGGGAGAAACAGCATTGCCAAAAAGATGAATTCTAATGAGTCAGCCAAGTGACTCAGCAGCTCACTGCAAGCTAACCTAGAACGACTGGGCAAGGGATGGTGGTCCTGCCCCGTGCTGGGGTCTGTCCCTCTGGTGCGGGCAGGCTCAGGGCTGAGCCCAAGGCTTCCAGACAGGCAAGGCCCAGAAGGCCAAGGGGCAAACAATGACAGAGCAGGGAGGTCAGGAATCAAGCGTCGTGTGAGGGCTGAACCAGTCGACCTCGATGATTTACTTCGAATAGTCATAACTCAGCGATGCGTTTATGGTGCTTTCAAAATTCACACTTTTCCCCTGGAGTAATCAAGTCATCATTCCCAGGGGACCACAGTCTTGGCTGTGAATCACGTTATTTTCTCCTAGTCCCTTCTTCCCTTCCTCCCTTCTCCTGCTTCAGCTGACTAAGGCAGATCTTGCCTGTCCTCCAAAGTTCAATTTTTAAAAATACAATTATCACAGATGTATGCGTCCGGTGCCAGACGCTGGGGGAGCCATAGAACAGAAGTTACAAGAAGCGCACTCGGGAACAATTCTTCTGCTTTTCCTCAAGCATTGATACACTAAGGAGGAGGCAGGAGGGCAGTTTCCTCAAAAAATGTAGCTGTTAATGATAATTAAAATTTTGTTTGCTTTTTTTTTTTTTAGGAAAAATAAAGTAAAGCCTCTGGGGAGAAACACTGCTGCAAATTTTCACTAGATTGTTGGGTTTTTTGGGCTGATGATCCTCTCACACTTGGCATTGTCTCAACTTAGGTTGAAGGGAGGACCTAGAGATGATACAATACAGATTCCTTACTGTCCGGAAAAAAGAAACCCAGTGGGCAAAGTGATTGGTCCAAGGTTACCCAGTACCTCCGTGCAGTGCTGAGGCTGTAGTCAGAATTCCATGCACTCAGCTCAGGCGGCTTCCCTCACAGGCCTAGAAGCTTTCTCCAGGCTCCTTCCTGAAAAGGGATGGGGTCCTAGTTGCTTCTGGACTTTGGGCAACCAGGGCCTGGGCCTCAAGCTGTACCCCAAAAGAAATGACCAGGAAAACAGCCCTTGACCACACAGCTCTCCTCTAAGTCCTCATATGGTTTGCAAAGCTGGCCACCCACACTAGGCTGCCCACACCTGCCCAGCCCACATCTCCCCCGTCAGTGAGGCCACCATCCTCCAGCCTCCTGTCCCTCTCCTGGCACTTTGACATCCTGGCAGTCCAGAGCGGATGGCTCTGCTTCTTCCCCAAGCAGTAGCAAGACCTGAGGGGCTTCTGGGTTGGTCCTCTCCCGCCAGGGGCTGCTGCTGTGACGACTCCCATCCGTTGATCACATCCAAGCCCCTGGACAAAAGGAATCCGGAAGAAAGCTTTCTCAGGAAAGCAGAAGGAACTTGGGACGGCTGGAGACAAGTGAGCCCCTTTTGGAAACAGAGCTGGTAGCATAATTCTCAAGGTTCAGTGCAAAATGAAAACGTGAGGCCCATTGTTCAAGAATGATTAAGCATTTCAAGGCTGCAACCACAGTGCACCAAACCAAATGTTGGGACTGAAATGAGGCTCACCCTGCTTGGCTGGGCCCCGAGTAAATGGGGACGATACTTAAGGTCCGGGAATCAAGGAGCCAGAAGGCCTCGTTCCACAAATAAATGCTATAATCATCCTTATAAACACAGTTCTGCTTCCTCGTGCCCAGCAGGTCTCTGGGATGATTTGGGGAGTCAGTATCTCATACTTCATGTTTTCTTTGTTAGCACATTACCCCTCCCCATCTCGCTCTCATTATTTTTCTACTTTTCTTAAATGAAACAGGAGTGGCGTGTGTTCAGTGGGGTTGCAGAACTGTGAAGTTTGATTTGGACTGAGACGGGCAAGGAGCCCAGTGGTCGCCCTGGACCCTGAGGAACTCAGGTTCGCCCCTCCTGGGGCGCCGTCCCCCAGCTCTGAGCCCCCGGGGAGCGGTGCCCGGCACACCCCAGGGCCTGCCTTCCCTGGGGATGGCGTGGCCTTTTCGTGGTACAGCTGCGCCTCCCCGTGCCCCCCGCCGGGTGCTGCACCGGATCCCCGCACCCCCTCCCGCACCAGCTTCCAGAAAGCTCCGGGTGCATTCCCCGGCATTCTTTGGGCGTGAGTCATGCAGGTTTGCAGCCAGCCCTAAAGGGGGTGTATACGAAGCAGAGCGCTATAAATACCGGCGCTGCACGCTCACCACGCCGCGTCGCCAGGAGGAGCCCACGGGCACCACTGACCGGTGAGAGGTCCCCACCTTTCCTACCCCTCCCCACAGCCTCACCGGGACCGATGGGCGGGCGGGTGGCAGGCAGGCTAGAGAGGACGATCTCTAGTAGTCGTAGGACTGTCAGGACCGCGCTATGGATGGAGTGGAGGGAGCCTGGGAAGATAGGCAGCCCCATCACCAGGCAGCGGAGCAGGGAGCCAAATCGCTGGGGGCGGTGCTCCGGCCGGGATGGGGCTCAATAGCTGCAACCATAATTCTGTCGGTAAATAGGACAAGTGTAGTGATCCTCTTTTTTGCAAAGACGGGGAAAACTGAGACGTGGGAAACTGATGTCTATTGCCAGAGGCCCAGGCTAATCAGTGGCAGAGTCCACGGGCACATAGGGCCTTTCTGCAGCATCTTCCTTGTCAAGATACCAGCTCTCCAGTGGCAGTTGTCAGCTTGCGCGCATGAATCATCTTGTTTGCCTCCGAATTTTCTAGTTCTCTGGGGAGTGTGTTTACAGATGTTTTAAGTATATGTTGCAACCACCTAATCCTACTCTCTCTGCTTCCTGCTGCACCAGGGTACATCAGAGGGAAGTCACACAACCTCCATCAGGCGTCAGGCGTCAGACGTCTGCTTCCCCCGTTTCATTTTCATAGATGATAATCTGAGGTCTGGAGGGGGTTAGGACTTCTCCAGAGATAAACAGCAAGTAGGTGCCAGAAATGAGACTAAAACCAGAGCCTCCTGATCTTCCAGAATTTCTGGACCTAATTTAAAAACAAAACAAAACAAAACAAAACAAAAAAAAAAAAAAAGAAAAGAAAAGAAAACCAACGACAACTAGCTGATTATTATTATTATTAAAAGAGAAAGGAATCTTAAAAGGATGCCGGTGACAGGTTCATTATAATAGCGGGAAATTGCAATTTAAATGTCTAGCCTTGTGGGATAGCAAAATAGAGAATATCAGAAAATGGACTATATTATCATAAAGTGTGCTTTTAAAGAATAGTTGATATAGTGGGTGTAAAGAATCTGATTGTATGTAAATGCACAGGAAATAGAAGGAAATATACCAAAGCGGTACTATTTGCCTCTGGATGGTATGAATTACAGGTGAATTATTTCCTTTTTGGTTTAGTTTTCTACATCTGGGGAGGAAGTAGGGTACGAGCTTTAAGCCCTGCAGTTTATAAGCTGCGTGAGGGCTTGTTTAGGTTCCTGTGTCCTCCCCACGCTCCCTCTGCCAGTTTAAGCCCTCCTGAGGGGAGAGGCTGCCCAGCGGTGGTGGGAAGGGGAGGGCCTTGGCCTGGCTTCTCTAATCAGAGCAGTTGCCAGCCAGGCATCCAGGCCAGGAGCTGAGAGAGGAAGCAGATTGGTGCAAAGAGAGTGCAGGTGGCCTGGCAGCCGCTGCTCTCCTGCCGCCCTGGGACTAGCGGTGTCAGTGTCACCTGTGAGCTGGTTAGGAAAGCAGATTCTGAATCAGAATCAGCATTATAACGAAACCCGCTCCTCCCCCTTCCCTGTGCCCCTCCCCCACCCAGTGATTCATAGGCACTTCACAGTAGCAGGTCAGTTCACTAAGACAAAGCCCTGTGGTCAGGGAGGGACCGCAGGTCTGTGTGCCTGCTGCTATCCCTCTGCCCCTCTCCAGATCTGCCACCTGCTCCCACTTCCCCAAGTGATGCTGCCAATGCCCACGTTTGGTCCTACATCCAATTGTGAAGCAGTCAGAGTTCACTATGATCCTCTAAGACCCCGTGTTTACAGAACACATTCACATCTCTGAGGCCTCTGTCAACGTCTATTTTACAGACAAAGAAACTGGGGCTCAGAGCCTTAAGTGACTTGGTGTCAAGGAAAGAATACTGGACTAGGGGATTGGGAGAGCTGGGCCCTCACCCTGGAGTTGCCACAAGCTTGCTACAGGACTTGGGGAGCCCCATCCTGTGCCTGGGCTCTGCATCCCCTCTGGAGTGGAGGGGCGGAGCAGAAGACTGATCTCTTTTTTGGCTCGGAGGCCAACGGCTTCCCATGAACCCCAGGCTCTTGGTGAGAGACCCTGTACTGTCTGCTGGGTTTCCAGACTCCTCGTCCAGTGCTCTTGCCTTTGGCTGCCTTCCCTCTCCTTTCTTCAGGTCCAAATGCCCTGTCTTCTGAAGTTCTCAGAAGTTGTTTCTACCAGGGACCTCATGCAGAATGGTGTGCTTTGCTGGCTTTCTCTCTGGCATGACAAAGGCTCTGTTTGTGCTTGAGGCGTTTCAGGCCTCAGTGAGCAGCTGGGCAGAGCTTGTTAGACGGGGACCTTCTGGTGGGACTGAAATAGTGCCCTGGCTCAGCCGCCCACCCTGTCTTTGGGGAAGGTGACGATCGACTCTTCCTTCCGCGCTTCTAATCTGCTCTGTGCAGTTGGTCCCGGAACCACAACTGGGCTGCCTTACTAACTACTTTCTTGGACAGGCTTGCCTTGTTAATATTCTACCGAGCATCCAGATGGGCCTGCTGAGCTGAGAGCAGTTTTTGGATGGGCACAATTTCAGGAACTGCCCCACCTGCCGTTCTATCATGGGCAATGGGTGACTTCAGATAGCAGTTGGGGGTGGGGGAGGGGTTTCTGTTTTATGTAACAACTTCAGCTTCTGGGAAAGGGTCTATTGTGTAAGACCAGGCTGTCCCCAGGCTCAGGGCAGGCAGCCCAGACGGGTGGCAGGAACATCTTGGCAGGGCTCCCTGCTGCGGATTTGGAGGGAATGGCCATGTGAAAGGGACCTGGCAGGCACATGTCCTCCCAGAGAGATGGCTCTCGGGGAGGTATCAGAGCCTAAGTGCCCCTTCGACCCCATGTTAACCTTTTGACTTTGCCCTTCCCTCTCTGCTTCCTGAAGACAAATGTCTTTTCCTCCTGGCTCTACTCTCCATTTATACCCCCAATCCACGCAGCCTGGGGCAAGTCTCACACTAGGGGTAACAAAAGGGTTTCTTTTCCTTTGCCAACCCAAAGGGCCCGGCTGTCAGGCTCAGCCTCTGGGAACCTGTGTTAGGTGGTGCTGAGGCTCAGTGGGGAGAAGTGCTGTGACTGATAGCTGGTGCAGCTGTGGGCAGGGTTAGAGGCGCGTGGGGTGGGGGCTGAGCTCTGGGATGCAGCCGCCGCCTGATGGGGGGACGGGAGAGAGCCAGGTGAGCTATCCAAGAGAGCTGTTTCCAGAGTTTGATATGAGCAGGTATCACCAGATAGACCTCTCTCTGGATGCAGAAAGTGGGTGCACCTGCTCAAGCACATTTAGCTGTTACGGGAGGAGGAGGAGGAAGGCTTGGACCTGGGCCCAGGCTCTGACTCCAGAACTCTCATTTCTTTTGTATTAGGCTGCTGTCCTGTGGTTCATCCCTGTACCCACTGCCTCCGTTTTCTTTTGAAAGAGTCCACAGTCAAGTCTGATATTTTCTCCCAACTTCCAAGGGGATAGAAAGGCAGTGAGGCCCGCTGAGAGGCAACGGCCCACAGCAAGGCCTCTGCAGGGCTCCCGGGAAGCTGCTGCAGGCAGCAGGCTGGGCCGGAAACCAGCAGGCTGTCTAGCTGTTACCATGACAGTGTCCCGTTCTCTACAAACAGAGGCGTGCTGGGATTCCAGAATCAGAGGAGGCAAGATGAAGACGCTACTGCTGTTGGTGGGGCTGCTGATGACCTTGGAGAATGGGCTGGCCGACCCTGCAGTCTCAGAGAGAGAGCTCCAGGGTAAGTAGACGAGAGTGCCCTTCTTTGCATAGTCCCTCCCTGTTGGGGCCCCAAGGACTAAAGGCCATATTATCCTGTGCATGAAGTCGTGCTGGCTCTGCCATGCCCCTCTCTGGGCCTCTTCTCCCCAGCCACCTGGCCATGGCTCTTTGTGGCCAGCTTGGCTTCCAAGCATTCCCAGTGGGTATCAAAGCCTTTGCTGGCTGCTGGGTCTCATTTGTTGTTTCCCTTTCCAATCTGTGCAGCCCGATGCCCACACCTCCTCTGTGGAGGTGCATGAAGCCTGGACCATTTGGACCTTCATGGAGCCCTCACTTTTTGAGTTTCCATAGCATTTAGTATATGCATCTCCACTGTCCCACCCAGACACCATGCTCTGTATTCTCTGCTCATAGGGAAGGGAAATACCATTCAATATGAGGCTTGTCGTCCTCCAGACCTTTGCTGGTCGTGCCCTCCTCTGCCAGGCCTTCCCTAAAACCCATCCTCCCTCCATGCCACTCTCGCCCTACTAGCGGACCAGTCCCCTGGGTAGTAGTTAAAAACCCCAACCCTGAGATCAGACCTGGTGTGACTCTGGCCCTGCCACTCCCGTGCTGTGCAACCCTGGGCAAGTATCTCGACCTCACTGCGCTCTTTTATCCCCATTTGCGCAGTGGGGACAACTATGGTGCTAGGAGTGTTAAAATGCACGTGAGGCGTCTGGCTCTGTGCTTGGCCCTGAGGAGCATTAGGTTGTCCTTAAGCGACATCATCTTATTGCACTTGTCACATAGCGTTATATCTTGGTCACAATATTCTTGGGGAACAGTGCTATTAATTCATCTTTGTGTCTCCGTCACTGTGAATTGGAGAAAAGAAACTCAGATGTTTGGTTAAGCCGAATTCCAGAAAGACTTGTATCCAAGAGAATAATAATATTTCCTATTTTAATGCTTAAGTGGTGACTCTTTCGGGGTTTTTTTTCTCCTTGAAAATTTTCTTCTGGGACTGGGCAGGCTTGGCGTCCAGCCTGTAGGGGTGTAGTGCCACTGTCCCTCCGCTGGGGTGTGCCTGCTTCAATTGTTTGCATTTCTGAATAGCTGATGCAGGCAAGTCTCAGACTCTGGGTCCACAGTGAGCCCCGGGATGGGAACCTGTGTCAGCACATGGCTGGGGCCTGGAGGCTGCCCGCCAGGGTGTTCCCAGCCTTGACAGCCCCTGGACCCACTGCCTTTCTGACCATTCCAGCTGATTCCAGGGTTACATTGCTGGTGCCATCTCTTCCTCTCTATTCCACTTCTCTGCCCTTCTTTTGCAGAAATGTCCACTGAGGGGACTAAGTACATTAATAAGGAAATTAAAAATGCCTTCAAGGGGGTGAAACAGATAAAGAGCCTAATAGAACATACAAACGACGAGCGCAAATCACTGCTCGTCAGCTTAGAGGAAGCGAAGAAGAAGAAGGAGGTAAGGAACAGCCGGGGGCATGCACCTGCTTTGACCCTCCCTGCTAGGGGGCAGGGAGGGAGTGGTCCTGGCTCCTCTTGGGATGTCCTGCTGGGTTGCCATGTTGACCCTCTGTCTTTCCAGGGCTGGGTCACCTTAACTGGGACTACAGTTAAGAAATAGGGGCAGTTTATTTGCTTTGGAAAGCATCAAAGGGTGAGATCTTAGATTTGCTTTTGTTACAAGCCTGGCCCAGGGCCTGATATCCAGATTCACTTCAATAGATTTTTCCAAACCCTGACTACGGGCAAGTTCCAAGGCAGGCTTTGGATAGGGTCTGTCACTGGGTGGGAGGGGGATGGTGCCCTACTTTCAGAAAGTCTATCCAGTAGGGGTGATTTCTTTGGGATTAAGGCTACCACACACGGCCCCCTGTCTTTCTAAAGGTCTGGATGACTTCATAAAGGGACACCTGAGTCCAATAGTGAGCATGATGGCTCTATGCTGTACTTAATGATTCAACAAAATTAAAATGCTATAATTCAATGAACAATTTATTTTAAAAAATGAATAGTCATTTTAAGGGTATCCTCAAAACCTGCTCCCATTGCCACCCTATCCCCAAGGGAGGAGGTGCTCAGGTGGGGCCACCTGCCAATTTCATGACCCACAATGCATTGTAAAAGCATTTTCAAGGCTCTGAGAAGTTCTGCAGTAAAGAAACCTATGTCACTTCATTTAACCCAGTGTTTTCCAAATCAAAATGACTAGGGAACCCATTTTTATTTTTCCTCATAGCTTGTAGCATGATTTCACAGAAGCCACGTAAGGAGGTGCTGGCCTGGGTGTGGCTCTTAACTTTCTTTGAAACTCCGTGTCCTTCCTTGGCACCGGTAGTGGTCCTTCCCATTGTACAAGAGTCCTCAGATAGCTCTGGCTCTCAAATTTTTTATGGTTAATGTTGGAGTTTGATATTTCACAATCCAGATTTTATAATAAAGTTCATCAAGTCTGGGAAAAGACTCCATTTACTTCTTAGCTGAGGAATACGTGAACCTGAAAGAAAGGAGATGACCAGCGGACACTTGGGCATGGGCTCCGTAGGCCATGTGGTGGCTTTTCTCAAAGCAGGGAACAGAGCAGGATGGAGATCGCATAACTTGAACTCCTCCTGGTCAGATCTTCATAGTGTCTTCACAGTCTACTTCATTCTTCTTTGAAGAGCAATATGCTCATTCATCAAGATTTTAATGTACAAAAGCAGAGGAGGAAAAGTTTTCCCGTATTCCTTATACTTAAGGACAATTACACTGTTAACATGAGATCAATTTCTTGCTACTTCTTTCCCTCTATGCTTTTTTGACAAATCCTGAATTTTTAATGTGAAAAAAATGCTTACCATAATATTAAAACTTATTCAAAACATCCCTTGTAATGCTGTTCTTATCTACCCTTTGTACATACCACAATCTGCTTAACTGGCCCCCTAATTTTGGGCACCTGAATTAATTCTAATTTTGTGTTGTTTGCCATAAATACATATGGGAGCAAGTATCTTCAGGCATAAGGATTTGTTCTTTATTGCAGGAATTCCCTGGCATAGATTCTTAGAGAATTATTGGGACAGATGAAATGAGCGTGTTAGAAAGTTTGAGTAGTATGGTGCCTTTGATTTTGAAGGCTTGCCTATTCCTGCTGCGTGCCAGGGACCGTGGTTCTAATAGAAACGTAGGATTCAGGGAGCTGCAGACACTTTGGGAGATGGCCGTTAAACGCCAGGGGTTGAGCAAAGGAAGTGAGGCATAAGTGAGAGGTAAATCCTGGGGCAGAGACTTTAAGTGTGGCGTCAGAGAAGGGAATGTCCCCGTGGGCTCCGGCGGCTGGGGAGGGCTAAGGAACAGTTGGGTCTTGAAGATGAAAGGATATTCAGAGCTGAGCGGGCAGGGAATTCCAAGTGGGCAATAGAGGGAACTAATGAGCCAGAGCAGGGGTGGAAATTAGCACACTGTGCGGCGGGACGGGGGAAGGTCTGCAGGTAGTGGTGGCCGGCGCCACTGTGTGGGCTGGGGATGGGTAAAGCCTGTGACTTCTCTGTGGCTAACTCGGCTTCGCGTCCTGCTCTAGGATGCCTTATCTGACACAAAGGATACCGAAATGAAGCTGAAGGCGTCCCAGGAGGTGTGCAATGACACCATGATGGCCCTCTGGGAGGAGTGTAAGCCCTGCCTGAAACAGACCTGCATGAAGTTCTACGCGCGCGTCTGCAGAAGCGGCTCTGGGATGGTCGGCCACCAGGTGAATGGGGATGGGCTGCTGGAGTGCAGCCTGGGCTCTGAATGGGGGACGAGGAGATGCGAATGAAACATGCTTCTGTGATTCCGCACCCATTCCATTGTGTGGGAGTTCTCTGACACCAGCTGGGTGCCCTATAATTCCACTCCATTCTGACACCCCCTCTCTGGAGACAGCATCGGATCCCACAGGCGAAGGGCCCAGTTCCACAAGACGGCCCCACCCCTCCTTCATTCACTCATCACAAGCCCAGGTTATCACCTGTGTTCTGACTGTTGGGCTATAGATTGGCGATTCCAGCCACCCTCTCATTAACTAATTTGCTAAAGCAGCTCACAGAACTTAGAGAAACACTTTACTTATTAGATTGCAGGTATATCATAAAAGAAATAGCCAGATGGAAGAGACACATAGAGCACAGTATGGGAAGGGGCACGCAGTGCCCACACTCTCTCCAAGTGCGCCCCTCTCCCAAACCTCCCCGGGTTCAGCAAACTCTCTGAACCCTGTCCTTTTGAGGTTTTATGGAGGCTTCATTAACATAAGCACAATTGATGAAATCATTGGCCACTGGAGACTGAGTCAACCTCCAGCTCCCCTCCCCTCCCCAGACATCAGGGTGTGGGACTAAAAGTTTCAACCCTCTAATCATGGTTGGTTTCCCCAGCAACCAGCCTCCATCCTTCAGTGTTTCCCAAGTCACCTCATTAATATCATAAAAGACACCTTTATTGTTCTCATCACAGGAAATGCAAAGGATTTGAGGAGCTCTTTGGTAGGAAGGGTCAAAGACCGAATACATATTTCTTAGGAGTATTATAAATCACAATGTTGCAGCTTCATTTCACAGATGCACTTGATTAGTTCTGGCTGCATCTGGGCTCAGAGCGCCATTATCAGTGGGTAATGTCCGCCGTGAGTGCAGAAACAGGGAGTCATGAAAAGCACCTGGGCCAGGTATTTGCCACCTCTTAGAAGCCTCATCCAGCTGTTATTAGCAGGATTATGTAAACTGCTTCATGGTATGGTGGAAGGAATTAAGAATTTTAGTACATTAATATTGGCCCCATCCTTCCCTGTGGGCCTCGCTACTTGGGACTCGTGAATTTTGCTTCTCGCTGAAGACGTAGCCCTTGGTCCTCAGCCGAGCGGGAGTGGGGAGCACTGGTGGCTGGAGAAGACAGCAGACTAGTCTCAAGTGTCACTCTCACGGCCTCATGGGTCTCCCTAAACTGTTCTCTGTTGGGATGGGTAGAAGGGCAGAGCACTGGCTGGACAGTTCAGAAGCCAGGGAGCCAGCCCCAGCGGGGCCTTCGGTCACAGGCTCACATGCCAGGTGACTCAGAGGAGACCAAAGTGCAGTGAGGAGCGGGCCTGCCCCCAGCTCAACAAGAGGCAGGTCAGGAGGCCGGGGCCCGAGTGAGCGTCTCCTGACTCTTCCCCACTCTGCCCGTCACAGCTGGAGGAGTTCCTGAACCAGAGCTCTCCTTTCTACTTCTGGATGAACGGCGACCGCATCGACTCCCTGCTGGAGAACGACCGGCAGCAGGCCCACGTCCTGGACACCATGGAGGACAGATTCAACCAGGCCTCCCGTATCATGGATGAACTTTTCCACAACAGATTCTTCACCCGGGATCCCCTGGATTCCTACCACTTTGCGTCCTTCGGCCCATCCCCGAGGAGGCCTCTCTACCTCAATCCCAAGACCCGCTTTGCCCGAAACATAATGCGTTTCCCCATGTTTGGACCCCCGAACTTCCAGGACATGTTCCAGCCCTTTTTTGACATGATACACCAGGCTCAACAGGCCATGGACGTCCACATCCATAGACCTCTCTTCCAGTTCCCAATGGAGGATTTCACAGCAGGTGAGAAAGATGTCTCGTTCCTCCTAAGAAGGGATGGGAACTAAAAAAATTTGTGGAGAAACCCATTAGACGCTAAGAACTACTGTGGGACTTGGCATGTGTCATCTTGATTTCCCCCTAGCAGCCCTGTGAGGGTGGGATTACACCCTATTTAAGGAAGACAAAACCATGGCAGAGAGAGAAAGGAGCACATCCAAGGTTCTGCAGCTGATAGTGAGACCTGGTCAAATCTAAATATGAAGGACTTGGAGTTTTCCAGGCCCCTTCCAGCAACTGGTGGGCATCACATTGGCTCCTCCCTCTAGAGAACCAGACACCTTTCTCTCGGAACTCCAGTGGTTTTCTGTGGACGCCATGTATATATTGGCGACAGATGATATAATCTTAAAGAAGCTGTTCATGGTGGTAAACTTAGGGCCTGGTGGAGAATGAGCATACAATGTGTATATATTTTTTTAATGAATGAAGTCTAATACAAGTATGAGAAGCCAATACTTGCAGAAGCTATTTCCTTCACTGAACCAGTAGACATCGGTTGGCCAACACCATCTCCTAAGTGCTGTCATTTGACTGGCACCGGGGTTTGGCTTCAGATGGATTGCAAGCAGAGGATGGTGTTGCACGGGACCAGCACCTACTGCATATCCATAATGGGGGGAGCCCTGTGTCATAAGGAGGCTGTGAGGAGAGTCCCGTTCCTGCCTTCAAGGGGCTTGTTGACTGGCCGGGGGAGAGAAATGAGTCGGGTAAAATGCAGAACAAAATGGCTTATGATGCCAAAGAGAAGTGCAAATAAATGGTCAGGGGGGTGTGGAGGCAGGAGAGGGCCCATCAGGTGGAGACGGTGGGAGGGGAGGCCACACCCCGCGGGGGAAGCCCAGGAACCACCTCACGGTCCTTCTGCGCGGAGCCCTGAGGGCAGGCCTGTGTCTGCCGGCCAGTCTGGCCTGCCATGCCTGCAGAAGCCCCTCAAAGGGCCAGGCAGGAAGGGGTCAGGGAGAGCGGGGCACCCGGCACCGTATCGCTCTGTGTGGTCCCTCAGCATGACTCCCTCTTCCCTCGGTGTCTCCAGAAGGCGACAATCGCACTGTGTGCAAGGAGATCCGCCACAACTCTACGGGATGCCTGCGGATGAAGGACCAGTGTGCTAAGTGCCAGGAGATCTTGTCAGTGGGTGAGTCTGGGGGCCTTGGGTCCCTGGTACCGCTGTGGGGCTGCCTTTATGGGTCAGACAGATGGGAGTTCAAATTCCGGCTCTGCTGCTCTCTAGTTGTGGCCCCAGGGCAAGCCCTCTGCCTCCTTCCGCCTGGGCCCCTTATCTGTAGACAAGGGTTAGGATGCAGAGTTGTCCCTGAAGGCCGGAAGTGGTACCTACTAAGCCATCTAACACGTGTTCAACATGTTAGAAGTTGTGGGAGGGGTTGCTGTGCTTTTTTAAAAACCACCATCTTTGACTTCCCAGCTATCCTTTCCCCAAGGGCCACGCATGGCAGACATCCTCATTTTTTTCCTGCAGATGATGACATCTTAAATAGCATGTTTCGTGTTTAGCAAACACTTACCACGTGCCAGGCACCATTCTAAATACTTTGCAAATAGTTACTTATTTCCTCAGAATGACCCTGAGTCAGGCACAATTAATGTCCATTTCTTACAGAGGTAGAAACTCAGTCACAGAAAGGTTAAATATTTCCCAATATTACAGGACACCCATACAGGGAGCCAGGTCTTTGGGGTATGATTTTAACCGGTGCTTTGTGTTCTGTCCCCAGTCCACATGGTCACCAACGGTGGTCCCTTAGCCTCCCAGCAACATGGCTTTTGGTTGGGTGGTCCCCAAGGCAAAGGAAATAGTTCCCCTCAGCTTTATCATATCAGGACATTGGCTAGTTTCTTCCTACTTCAAGATAGCATCTCTAAAAGCATCTAGAACACTTCCTGACCCACAACAGTCTATGCTCAGAAAGAGTTCATTGTTTCCCTTGTAAATACTCAATCTTGTAGTTTTGCTCTTATTTAATTGGTTTGGGTTTGCCAGGGTAGGCCTTCAGAGTCTGCTTAAATATTCTAACCTTATTTCTATAATTTTAGAAGCCACTGCAGAATAAATCCAAGTGTTACAGGAGGCTGATGGATAAAAAAGTGTAGATGAGTACCTGGCCACGTCTCTTGGACCGTTCCCACGGAACACCATGGTTAGACTAGCATGAATTACATAGTATCCCACCACACAAAGCCATGCGAAGGCCAGACGGAAAGGCATGCAGTTGCCTGGGCTCAGATCGGCACCGTACTGATGGCCTCTGAGCACAGTTGACCCTTTCTTTTGTGCACTGAGGAACGCTATGGCCCCTCATTTAAGGTTCTTGCAGCCACGTCGGCAGGCACTGCCCAGGAACTCCAGGCTGGAATTTCTCAGCTTCCTCGCTGTGGAGATTTTGGACCAGATCACCCTTTGCCATGAGGGGCTGTCTTGCTCCCTGTAGGACATTTAGCAGCATTCCTGGCCTCTACCCCACCAGGGGCCAGTAGCTCCCCCTCCTGGGTGTGATAACCCGAAATGTGTTCAGACACCGCCATATACCCCCTGGGGGCCAGCACCCCTCCCCACCCCCCTGCCTGATTATTCAAGATAATGAATATCCAAAGCACTTATGTGATATCTGGTACATAGTAGGTGCCATACAAACAGTAGCAAACAGTAGCATGCCCTCTGGAAATGACTCACGGGGGCACAGGGGCGGCCAGGGTGGCCGCGGGTCTGAGCACACGGAGCGCTGAGGTCCACGCTCCTCCGCTGAAGTCAGCGCTGTGCGCCACCAGCCTCCCATGAGGTCCCTGAGCACGCTGTTTAGTTCAGCGGACACTGTTCTCTGGAAAGAGACTTTCTCCGTGAAGGAAGCCACACATTGAGTTGCATTCGTGGACTGATGACAATTTGGGCACCGGCGCCAGCCCTACTCTAGGTTCTGGCTGTGTGAACTGATTTCCATCCATGTTTCTTTTCTTGTTTCCATGTCTGGGCAGACTGTTCATCCAGTGACCCCTCCCAGAACCTGCTGCGACAGGAGCTCAACAACTCCCTGCAGCTTGCGGAGATGTTCACCAAACAGTATGATGAGCTGCTCCAGACCTACCAGCAGAACATGCTCAATGCCTCCACTCTGCTGAAACAGCTGAACGAGCAGTTCAGCTGGGTCTCCCAGCTGACTAATCTCACTCAAAATGAAGAGCCGTTCTCTCTCCAGGTCACTACGGTGAGTCTTGTCCTAAAGCCGGGGCCCCGAGACGCGGGCTGGGGGTGAAGTGGGATGAAGATATAAAGGGGGCACGTATGCTTTCCATTGAGCGCTTGTCCTGTGGCAGGAAACCTAAGTCCTTCACGTGCGTCGTTGCATGGAAGCTTCACCACCCTGAGGTACAATGCCATGACCCCGTTTTTTAGATGAGGAAAGGGAGAGGTTCAACAGCCTGCTCAAGGTCAAATACCTGGGCATTGGAGCCTGTTTGCCTGCCTGCGGACCCTGCACTCTTTCCTCAAAGTTGCCTTGCTGCTCTGTGCCTTGTGGGACAGCTCCTGGGTTAGTGCATCCTTCTCCACCAGGGATGAAAAGCTTCTCTCTAGCACTGGGAGCCTTTGTATTTTCTTTCCCTGATTCCTTTCTACCACAGCCAGGCCAGTGGCTGCCCAAAGAAAACATGGTGGCTTGGAAACCATTTCTCGTTCCATGGGGCTCCCTCTGGGCTGGTCATTTGCGGTGGCATTTACCCCTACCAAGTGTCTCTGAATTAGGGCACTTCTTTTCAGTGAGTCATACACATGTTGAGATTAGTAAAAAGCCAAGGGGTCAACGGTCCATGTTTAAGCCGGACTTTTGTTGGAAAATGAGTCCACTTCAGCCAGTGTTTCAGTCCTTCTCTTACCTTTGCTCCTTCCAGGTGGTTTCCCACAGTTCTGACTCCAGCGTTCCCTCTGGCTCCACCAAGGTTGTTCTGAAGCTCTTCGATTCTAACCCCATCACTGTGACTGTCCCAGAGGAAGTCTCCAGGAACAATCCTAAATTTATGGAGACCGTGGCAGAGAAAGCTCTGCAGGAATATCGCCAAAAGTACCGGTGAGCATGCAGACCCTCACTGCCTGTGGTCCTTCCAGGCCACACAGGTCCCTGGGAGCCAAGAAAAAGGGCCGAGTAGCCGGTCTGGGGGTGGCTGCCAGAGCCCAGAGCCCAGAACCCAGACGCGGAGCCAGGCAACCACTGGGGCTTTTCCTTTTCCTTTGGAGGATGTTCTTTCACGGTTGATAAGAATTCAAGTGTTGGTTGCTGCCTCTCAGTGAATGTGGAGCCCTCACCTTCTCCTCACCCCCACTTTTTTTTTTCAGGGAGAAGTGAAATGTGAATGTTGCTTTGCCAAGTATGGGGGTGTCTGAATCTAGTGGCCCCCACTAGCGAGAGCTCTGCATGTCACCAAGTGACCAGGCCCTGGCCTCGAGGCCCTCCGGACCCCGCCCAGCCTCTCCTCCCTCTGGATCCTGCGCGCTCTAACGCCCGCTCTTGCTGATCACGGGACGAACCTCCCTCGCATGCCACTAATTCAATAAAACTGCCTGTGTGCTCTGCAGTGTCCTCTTCTTGTGCTGGGTTTTTCCGCTTCCCGTATCCCTTCATTTTATTAAAGAAAATAGCAAAGGGGAAGAAGGGGAAAAGAAAAAGCAGTGGCTAGAATGGTATGGGGTATCATATAATTGAGAATAAAAGGAGTGTCATCATAACATTGATCCAATTCAATGATTTCCTTTTTTTATGATGAGATGTGTTCCAACAGCCAACTAAAGTAAATTTCTGAAAAATGAACATTTTCCATTCCATTATAAAACTGGTGATGTATTCTGATTGGAGTGAGGGAAATCTCCTGAAGGAATACACTGAAAATGAGTGTGAAGAATGTGTGATGGGAACACATACTGAGTATTTTAATGCACAACTGATATTTTTCTTGTGGATACTGTAGTCCCCAAAAGATGAAATGAGGCAGTTTTCATTTTAGTTCCAAGGGCTTGGAATCCCTGTGGCACCTTTTCGACTGTGGCGTTGTTTGTCCACTGTCAGTCCATGCAACCTTTATATCCTTCCCTCAACCACAGGAATTTCTCCTCTGCTTGGGTTTTTTTTGTTTGTTTGTTTTTTGTTTTTTCCCTGTTGACAAATTCACCACTCATTCTGAAATAGTTGAGCTGCAGTACCTGGTGCAGCCAGTAGGTGGCTGTGACGCACCATGGAGTTTATCTCAAAATCAAATCAGCAAGCCTTCCCATTCATGAATGCATGATCTTTGACTTCATGGGGTGGGGGGGGGGCGGTTCAAGCTCCTAACCCCCCCATCATTCAAGGGTCAACTGTATTCTCTAATTATAGAATTCTGTTCATCATATATACTGCAAGTGGAAATAAATCCGGCTGCCTCTCTCAGTGTTTTCAGTTTCATTGCCAAGGCCATGTGTAAATTAATAGCTATAATAAATTTTATCGCTTCTTGGCCTTTTGGCTAAGATCAAGTGTAGTATCTGTTCTTATCAGTTTAATAAATTTAGGTCACTAACCCTTGTCTCTCTCTTTTAAGGTTTAAGCACCTCTGCCACACAGGCAACAAACTCTAAACCTTAGGAGTTTGCCATATGCATGTCCAAAGAAAGTAGAATTTTAGTATTTCTATCAAGGAAATTCAGAGTAAAGTTAATATAGTTCACTTAACGATATACATAAATTAGGATTATGGGTTCAGAAGCCATTTGTTAAAAAGACTGTGATTGTAAACTATGTATTACATTAATGTCACACATCATGTTTCAGAAATTGTTTTGTTTTTCATTATGTTGCTAGAGTCTGCCAGTCATTATATATGCACTTGTTGTTTCTTTTTGTGCACCTTCTTTAAACTATCCTAAACTAGCACCTAAAAAGACTGAGTCCAAAGCTGACCCCAAGGTCCCCCCAGGACCTTCTCTTCATCCTCTTCCCTCCTTTGCACAGTGGCCTGGTTTGAGGATCTTTGGTTTGAGGGTCTTTGGATGCCTCTCCAGCCCTGATGGAAACTCCAACCTGAGGCTCTAGAAAGACCCAGGCAGAACCATGAGGTCACCAAAGCAAGGGGGCAAGAGATGGAAAATGAGTTCTTGGGTTCAGGTTTCTAGGATGCCCGCGGCAGAGTGGGAGCAGGCCTCAATGTTCTGAGAAAGGAGGGTTTGGCACCGGGCCGGGCGGCGGCTGCCCTGCTAGGAGGCCCGTGTTGACCCCTGACCGGCCTCTGCTGGAGAACTGTGGTAAGATAAACCCTCCGATAACTAAAGGGTGACGGCACCGGGGTTGTGCAGTGCGCAGTTTGCGTAACTGTAACCAGCAGCCACGAGCCCACCCAAGTGCTTAAACGCTTGGACTGATTGCTTCCTGTAATCCCGTTAGGTCCCCCCAGCTGTCCTCCAGGCAGGGGTCACTTTACCTTGAGTTACAAAGGCTCCAGGAGCAGCCTTCACTAGAGCAGGAAGGCCTGGTGGAAAACCCGCCCCTGGTTCCTAGGAAAGGAACCTCTGGTTGCCTCTCCTCCAGGATGAAGCCGGGGATTGGGAGAGCGGTGGGAGCCAGGAAGCTGCCCAGCGAGTGCGCGGGCGGAGCAGAACTCGCCACCGGGTGGTGGGGTTGGGGGTGACTCAAGGGACATTTGCCTCAGACTTCACACTCCCAAAGGGCCTCCAATGAGGCCTTCGACGTTCTCTCCACTGGGGTTAGAATTAGACCCGAGCACAGGGGCAAAGTGACAGGGTTGAGGGAAAATGCTCACAACGCCCTGCGGATGCACAGCGCAGACTAGGGACACCGTCAACGATGCTGTAACAACAGCACGGTGCCGGCAGGGACTGGAAGTATCGGGGGACGCTTTGTAAAGGACATGGCTGTCTAACCACTGCCCGGTACACCTGAAATTAAGACAAAATAATACTGAACATACTTGAAAACTGTACTTGAAAAGTAAATTTTAAAAAATAAAAAGGAGAGAAGAGGGCTGCTGAGGATGAAACAGTCAAGTAAACCAACAGACAAATGTAGTATTTGCCACATTGGGATCCACATCCTCTAAAAGGCAGCTTTGCCTTGGAAGTCTAATTCGGGCAAATGTATTGTAAAAAACTTGGATGTAAACATTAGTTTTCAGATGACAGTACATATACACTTGAAAAGAGTACTTCCTAAGCAAAACTTTAAAAATATGAAATTTCCAAGGTGCAAACACCTTTTTTCCACCTAAATACTTCTATTGAAATAGTAAATGTGTCAGGTAAAATGTTCAAGCAAATGGGCTTAGTGTGTAAAATGTTAAAAAGCTATGTATTTTATCATTTGTGGTTATAAGTATAATAAATTAAAACTTGTCTCAATTCAAAAAAAAAGAAAAGAAAAAGAAAACGCTCACCATATTACAGGAGCTTTGTCCCACCCCACGGGGCCCGGAGCTTGGAGCGCTGGCAGGGACCTAGGAGGGCCCGGCTGCCGAGAGTGAAGGTCCAGGCCCATCCGGGGAAACCATCATCCTGTCTGGAGGAGACCACCCGGCAGGAGCAATTTCAGCCACCAGGCCAGGCTAGACACCTCCTGCTTCATAACCTCGGAAGAGCTTGACCAGAGAGAGAGGAAGCCAGGAGGGACAGCCAAGAGAGACCCCCTCACTCCCTGGTCCAGCGCTGGCCTGGGCCCCTTTCCTACCCCACTCTGGGGACCTCAGAACAGGAGTGGGAGCGAGAGGGTACAGTTTATCCCATTCACCCCACCCCTCCCCCTCTGATGGGGAAGGGGAAGAGCTTTGAATATGAGATAGATGGTCCAAAGTCAGATGACTGTTTGTAACTGTTTTCAGGAATAAAACAATCTGCTAAAGATGTTATCAAGTGATGGGAACAGTGGTCAGAGTCACTAAACTGGTTTCAGGTTTGTGCCTCTAAAGGAGTTGAAACTCCACAATAAACAGATTCCAGGAACTCTTATTCACAATTGAGCAGGAAGTTTAGACATGAAATATACCAGGAAAGGGAATTGAGAGTGAGGTTGTAGAAATAGCAGGGACCATTTTTAGGCATGCAGCTGGTAAATGGCAAAGTCGGGACCGAACCCAGGCCTGATTCTGGGTCCATGGGGCCCTCGATGCTGCCTTGTAGGCATCCAGAGCTTCCCACACCTTGTTATTTTGTCTGGGCCCTGCCTGCACTTGCCTGGTATATTCTAGCTTTAACAGAATAGCTTGGCAAACCCAGGAGATATCAAATGTTTAGTTCTAAAGGCAACCTGAAAAGGACTTGGGTCTGCACAGCTTATTAATAGAACCGATGATTACCAAATCAGCCCGTATGATAACAGTAAGTGCCAGACCACGTGGGAGAAATTTATGAGGTTAATAATGAACTTGCTCTTTACCTCTGAGATATTCTCAACCTCTCAGTCATAATCCTCCTGGTTTATGACGTTGCTCACTGCGGGGTGGGCAACAGTAGAGTTTGCCCAGCTCCTCCGCCTGTGCCCCCCACTGAAGGCTCACTGGCGGCCAGCAGTTGCCTTCAGCCTGTTCATGTTCATGCTCATGCATATAAAGTCATAGAGATGCCCTAACAGCATCAAAGGAAGATGCTCATTCTCCAAATTCAAACCTGTGTCCCATCACTGGCTCACCTGCCCGCAGTGCACAAGGTATTAGTCTTTAAAACAATACCCTGCAGTTATCTGGGGCACAGCATAGCATTATCTAACTCTGTGTGTGAGGGCATCCTTTTGTGGATGGCAAAAAACTAAAACAAACCAAAATTCTGATAATTCTGTTTGGGAGCTTTCTGGAAATGTCTGGAACTTTCCTGATGTCTGGGAAGCCCAGCCACAAGGGGGAAAAGCCAGTGGAAACTAAGGTCAGCCAGACTCATGTATTTAGTGCTACTTTGCTCAGGCACTGCCTTGTATTGTTAGCCTTCAGTGCAGCGGTTCCTCAAGGACCCTTTGGGATTAGGGTCCTTGCAGTATTTTCCCAGTTTACACTCCTCCATCCTTGGAATAGAACCTGCCATTGACTTTTTTTTTTTTTTTAGAAACTGGAGACCTACAGGTAAGATGCTCCTCTCAGGGGACCCAGACACATCCCTGCTAAATTAGAAACCTTTTGTGGCCTTAGCTGGTGTGGCTCAGTGGATTGAGCACCAAGCATGTAAACCAAAGGGTCGCTGGTTCAATTCCCAGTGCAGGGATGTGTCTGGCAGGCCGGGTCCCCAGCAGGGGGCGCGTGAGATGCGACCATGCATTGATGTTTCTCTCCCTCTCTCTCTAAAAAGAAGTAAAATCCTTTAAAAAGAAAAGAAAGAAACCTACTGTGGCAAAAGATCTCTTTCCTTCCAGCAGCTCCCGCAGTTCCCTCTAGAGCCTCCCTCGGGATTTGCTCCCTTCTCCCCTGGCGTCTCTGGTCACTTGGTAGTTTGGGACTAGCAGCTACACACACGCAGGTGGCTGCTGTTTCTGTCTGTGTGCTTCAGCTGAGGTCGACGCAGCGGCCACCAGGGGGCGCCTCGAGTCCCTGTTCTGGGGCTGACAGCGGATGCTGTCCTTACTCCACCTACACGCCTCCCTTGATCCATCGCCTGGGCCCAGCCCGTGCAGGTGGCCAGGCTGACTTGGACAGTTCGGGGTTGGTTATGCCTATGCAGAGACACCTACAAGTGAAGTGAGAGGGCATCTGCCTTGGGTTAAATGTCCCGCATCTTTGCATTTTGGGAGGCCTCCCTTTCTACTACACACCTGTGGAGTGCAGGGGCCAGGGGGCCACCCTGAAGGGAGAAGCTGCCCACAGTTCACATTCTCTACTTGCTGAAATTTGCACATCTGCTTTCGATTTGTGATTTCTCACCCCAAATTCAACTCTGAGAGACACTCATGGCACCTCAGCCTCGATGCTGTACTCTAATTAGTTCCCCACTGGCCCGGGGTGACACCATTTCTCCTCCTTCCATCTCATTTCTTCTTAGAGGCGTCTGCCCGCCATTAGAAGTCTGTCCGGTCTGAGAGCTGCAGGCTCCAAGTCCGGCACCGTGACTTTCCAAGTCTCCTGAGTTGAGGAAACTGTTTGCCACGGGTGGCACAGCTGGCTCATGCTATCTGAGGCTTAGAAAATACAGCGGTGCGGGGAGGGGTGACCGTTGGGGTTTGGGGGGAGATGCCAGCGAGGGGGAACCCGGGACAGAGTAGCAAGAAGGCAGCTAGGAAGGAGAGAAAAAGGGATGCCAATTTGTAGGCTCAGTCCACACCATTCAATATCAAAAGGATTCTGCAATGAGAATGTTTTTGGAAATGGTGACCTTCCTGCATCAAAGGACCCCAAATCAAAGGAAGGGTAAATGACATTCATCAAAACCCTGACCCAGAAAGGGCCTCTGGGTTCTCTGGTAATCAGAAAGCCTATTTCCAGAACATCCTTTTGCCTCCGAATTCCAGGAGTTGAAGTTTTACTAAGCTTCAAGGTTTCAGACTTAAGTCATGGCAGTGTGTTCCTTACTGTCTGTACTTCTCCCACTGGGGCAGATGTGAGGTGACAGGGACCACAGAACAAACAGGGCACTTCTTCCTAGAGCAGAGATGTCATTTCAAGATTTTGAAAATAAAACCCTACTCAGAAGTTTAAACTCAATTACATAATGGAATATAATGCAAAATTCAGAGATTTTAAAAGTTAAAACCAAGCTATCGAAAATTCAGGGTTGTGAGATAGTCTCCGGTTGAAAAGTTTGAAGACACTGCCTTTCCTAACTTGCTGTGTGACGCTGGATACGTTTCTGCACCCCTCTGGGCCTTGGTTTCCTCCTCTGCAGAACATGGGAGGGATTCTGACTCCACAGTTTCCAAAGCCTCAGGGCTTAGCCTGCTTGCTTATCTTTGCATTAACTTCACCAACCCATCTCTGCCCTTACGTGACAGTCAGGGTCTTCCGGAGAAATAGAGCCAATGTATCTATGGATACTAGGTTTCCTTCAAGGAGCGGCTCATATGACTCCCCAAGTCTGAAACTTGTAGGGCAGACCCACAGGCTGGGAACTCAGTCACGAGCTTTTGAAGGAGAGTTTGTTCTTCTCCCAGAAAGCTCAATTTTTGCTTTTAAGGGCTCTCATCTGATTGAATGAGGCCCACCTACACGACCAAGGGTAATGCCTTTTACTTGAAGTCAGATGATGGTAGGTGCTAACCACATCTACAAAATGCCTACACTCGCGTTTGATGGAAGAGCTCATCTCTGCAGTCTAGCAAGTTATCCCGGGAAGCGAATGCCACCCCCGCGGTGGTGAGCCGGGCTGGTTCCGCGGAGCCGTGGCCCGAGCAGGGCTCAGAGGACGCTGCGCGTAATTTCATGAGGTGCTCTCACCCTCTTGAAATTCTTGTTTTGCACTGGCCCTGCAAACCACAGAGATGGTTCTGCTGATGGGTTAGTTCTTGCTCTCACAGCCGTGGACCTGCGTCTCCTGGCCGAGCCGGCTTCCGTCTCGTGCCGGTGGGCCGGCCAGGTCTTTACGCTGTGCCGTTTCCCTGACACATCATTAGATTCTCCCTGGCATCTGTTTAAAGTCCTATACACATCAGTCTCGTTTCCCTGAACTACAATATAAATGTATCTGTTTGTGTGGGAGTAAAAAATACATGACATTTTATCATTTTAACCATTTTTCAGTGTACAGTTCAGGGGCATTAAGTACATTGACCATCACCACTGTCCAGAGATTTTTCATCTGCCCCAAGTGAAACTCTGTATCTTTTAAACACTTTACTCTCCATTTCCCTGTCCCCCAACTTCTGGCCAAACCTCCCTCTGCTTTCTGCCTCTGTGAATTTGACTACCATAGCTACTTCGTTGAAATGGAGTCATACGGTGGTTGTCTTTTTGTAACTGGCTTATTTCACTTAGTATAAGATCTTTAAGGTTCATCTACATTGTAGCAGGCATTAGAACTTCTTTTCTTTTTAAGGCCAAATAACATTGCATGGTACGGATATGCCATGTCTTCTTTATCCACTCACCCACCAGTTCATGAGGTCTGTCCCCATCAGGCCAGTGGGCCACCGAGCCTACAGCCCCCTCAGAGGGGGGCCTGGGGATGAGTGGGTGGGCTCCACTCCTCTCCGGTTTCTGCTCCAGTGACACGCCCTCTCCAGATATGCATTCAGAAACACACCAGAGGGGGCCAGCTTTTCTTGGATCACACAGAACTTTGGAAAGTAAGGGAACCTTTTCTCAAAATCCTTTCTGGTGCAGCTATGGGCTTGTGGAAGCAACCAGATACAACAGGCCTTGTTCCCTGGAGCTGGCATTTCCGCAGGGCTGCAGGCAGGGACCCTACCCCAGGGACATGCGCACACACACACGCACGCCCACACCCATCCATGCGTGCACATGAATGCATGTGCCCCTGCCCACAGGTGCACACACACACACATACCCTCCCCCCCACAGGCATGCATGCAGGTACACACATAACGTAGAGACCCAAACAAGGAGAAAGCTCTTGGAAAGTAAAGAAGGAAGGTGCTAAAATGTATTACTGAACTCTCTATTCCCATTCCCATCAGACAGTGTGACAGTGGAGGGGCCTCTGGCCCCAACTTTACTGCTAATGAGTAAGTCCCATCACTTCTGAGAGACCCCCAGTTTCTCCCCTATTAAATGGGTTCACTGACCCCAACCTTATCCTGATCATAGGGTTTCTGTAAGAATCAAATAAAGGGAAAGAAAAGGAATTTCTCTGAAAACTCTAAGGGAATTACAATCACTGGGTCGTTGGAACATGAATGCGGAGGGAAGCTGGACATGGATTCAGTGGTGCAGACCCTCCTGCTCAAGGCTTGCTCGGCGCCTTTTCCCAGCATACCAGCCTTGGGCAGGCAGAGGAACAGAGGAACAGAGAGGAGAGGCGCCCCCTGGTGAAACTCCTCCCTCACAGCCGCTCCCTGGCTGACACCCACGCTGAGGCTCTGACTGGCGAGTCCTCCCCTGGCCCCGTGAGGCCTGCCCCCCACCTTCTTCATGATGTTCTCAGAACCCAGACAGTAGCCCAGGCGCCACACGTCTCTTCCTTGCCTTAGGGCCTGGGGACAGGGCAGAAGGAAATGAGGCCCTTTCCCTGCTCAAACCAACCCACCATTACCTGGCACCTTCTGAGCCACAAATGGAACTTGGCAGGCTACATGGAGATTAGGACCTGGCTTTGCCCTCAGGACACCGACGGCAGTGACTGAGCAACTTGAGGGCTTTTGCTCATTGCTCAACCCTGAAGGTTTGGAAAAGGTTTGCATCCTCTCACATATTTTTTAATTGGTACCTGAAAGTTATCATGAGCTCTAATTATTTCAAAGAGTTGTGCATACAGTCTATATTATATAATTATATTATATATTTATAATTATAACTTTGGGATTTTTTCCTGGATTCTGGGACTACCCCCCAGAACAGGGCATTCTTGAAGTGTCTCCTGGGAAACCTATAAGCCTGGGGGTTTTATATACTTAAGAAATACACCATATAAGATTCAGGCTGGCTAAGAGGTATGTTTTTCTTTTGCAAAATATATTATATTATATTAATTGTATTATATGTATATATATCTCACTTTAGATATCATTTCGACAAAGCCTAGGAATTTCAGCATCACCTCATTCAATGTATGGAAAGCGTGGCCACAGCACCGAGCAGGTCAGTCCTCATTGCCGAACCCACCAGCCAAGTCAGACTTACTAACAGAAAAAGCATAAGTCAGAATTTTTAAAAATTCAGAAAAACATGTTAAGATGCATTCCCATGGCAACTTTCTCACTTCTGCAGTTGGAGTCACAAGCAGGGGAAGAGAAACAGGCAGGCAGGCAGATGAGGTCGGAGTCTCGCCATGCTCGTCCCTGCATGAAATAAGCAGTCGCCCCATGAGTGCGTCTTTCAGAACCTCCCTTTTCTGGATACTGGGACCTCTTCCAGGACAGTCCATTCTGGAATTGTGCCTTGGGCATCCTATAATTTTAGTTCTTTTATAGGCTGGAGAAACACACCATGTAAGATTCAGGCTGGGTACGAGGAGTTTCTTCTGCACAGAGAAGGGCTACTATCAGTGAGAGATGGGGATGAAGAGGCAGAAGGAAGACACAGCTTAGCAGGAAAGTTTGGAAAAGTTGAGCTTCTAACCTATGCATGTCTATAGCCTCCTGCAGGAGACAGCTGCGCAGCTAAGGCAAAGGCCATGCAGCTGGGCGTGTAGGGTGCCCCCATGGCGTCTGGTAGGCCCTCTTTCCTGCTGAACTCGAACCTAACTTCAGAATCCTTCTGAACACACATGCAGGGCTGTCAGAAGCACAGACTAGAGTAGGTACAGGAGATAGCATATATTTGTCATCCCATAATGTCAGCTTCACCAATGGTAGCTGTAACAACAGTACTTATTAATTAAAGTTAATTATTATACTAATATAATATAGGCCCGAAATGGTAGATATCACAAGAGTACAAAGAGAAAGAGTTAAAGGAAAGAAACTTTTTTAATTTTTAAATTATTCTTGTTGTTGTTGTTGTTATTATTATTATTTAGACAGAGAGGGGAAGGGAGGGAGAAAGAGACGGAGAGAAACATTGATCAGTTGCCTCCCCAGGGACCTGACCAGGGACTGAACCCAGAACCCAGGCATGTGTCCCAACCAGGAATTGAACTGGCAACCACTCGCTTTGCAGGACGACAGCCAAACAACTGTGCCACACGGGTCAGGGCAACAGACTATTTTCTGCTGCCAGGATCAGGGAAGTCTCGCTGGAGAAGGTGGCATTTAAAGTGGCCTTGGAAGATGGGGAAGGAGAGGGGCCCTTTCAAAGTTGAGGGGCTGGATTCTTACCCCCCAGCACCACTCTCAGCGAGCTGGTCGCCTGTACAAAATGATGTTTATGTAGCAGCTGTCCCTCCGGAAGCAGCGGCTCAGCAGGATGCCGTCACCCCAGGGGGGGGGGGGAAGTGCACCTCCACGGGGAAGCGGGCCGCCACCGTGGGGTGGGCCTCCAGCATGGCCGTCAGCTCCAGCAGTGCCTCCTCAGTCCTCTCTCTGCACTCAGCCCAGGGGGACAGAACAGGGACCTCAGTACACAGGACTGAGTCATCAGATGGGGCTCTGCATGGCCTCCCAGCTGAAGGGGACGCAGCCTCCATTGTCCATGCCGGCGACAGGGACTTCTGGCCCCTGAGGAGCCGCGTTCCTCACAGCTGCTCTGCAAGTCCTCCTCGCAGAAGCAAAGCCGGCAAACGCTCCCCGCAGGGATCTGCCTACTGCTCCTGGGTCAGCCCCAGGGCTGCCGAGTCAGGGGCTCCCTTTGGGTCTCCGGCCACAGCTATGCCATATCCCAGCCTCCTCTCCTTCAGACAGAGCAGAGTCGCTCTGATTCTCATACTTCTACCTTGTCTAATATTCCCACCTGGAGAGACTGGTGGCTCCAGCCTTGGACCACAGTGACAGAGGCATCCCCTATGCACTGGGCATCGCCTCTGCTTTTCCTGGAGAGAGATGAAGAGCAGAGGCAATCGGCTACAGACCTCGCCTAGGTCCTCGCTGGGGGCCCCTCCCAGTGCAGAGTACCGACCCCCGGCATGCTGACCGTGGGCCAGAACACAGGGGACAGTCTTTCAGAAGAACAAGAAGCTGAGCAGGAAGTCACATGCTCCAGGCCCAAGCCTGCTGTCCCCTGGCCTCATGGCTGGAGAGGGGACGATGGAGAGAGTGGGGTGGGGGATTCTGTGACTGGTTTTCCCTGAGAGACAGAATGGCCTGGAACATCGGTGTTGGAAGGAGACCCAGAGCTTCTAGTTTGCCACCCCCCCCGCCCCCTCCAATACTGGGCAGGCCTGGGGGCCTGGTTGGCTGTCCCTGTGCTAGGACTGCAGTAGGAACTGAAGGGAACTTTCTGGCACTGGCCCCCTCAGCGCCTACCTGGGGATGGCCCGGTTCTGGACGTGTTGCTTGAAACGACACTCGTAGGAGAAGATCTGGTGGCTGAGGTTGCTGCTCTCTTTCTTCCCGGTAAATAGGAGCCAGAAGAAGCAGCGATTGATCCAGCCCATGAGGCCGGCAGGAAGGTGCTGGAGAGGCGAGGCAGAGGGGCGCATAGTAGCCATATTATCCAGCATCCAGTGAGCGCCAGCTGCATGCCAGGCCCTGGGCTGAGTTCTTCACCCACCAGGGCCTCATTCCTGCACACTCTGTCACCTACGCTCATCTCTAGCTGGGAAATCCTCGGGGACTGTGCACAGTGCTCGGAAGTATCCTTTCCAGAACTGCACAGGAGCCCGGCTATGGAGAGTCTGTGTTTGTTCCACCGTTCCCCTATTAAGGACTAGGTTGTTTTCAGGGGCCTGTTTTTGTTTTGTTTTGTGTTTTTGGCATTCTTAATTCTGGCTAAAACCACAGAACGTAAAATTTACCATCTTAACCATTTTTAGGCGTATGGTTTGGTGGTGTTAACTATACTCACACTGCTGTGCGGTCGATCTGCAGAATCTCGCAAAACTGAAACCCTGTCCCCATTAAACAACAACTCCCCTTTCCACCTCTCTCCAGCCCCTGGCAACCACCATCCTGCTTTCTGTCTCTAGGAGTGCGACTACTCCAGGTGCCTCCCAGAAGTGGAATCCTACCGTATTTGTCCTTTTGTGCCTGGCTTCTGTCACTTGGCATAATGTCTTCAAGGCATTATGCAAAATATCCACGTTGTAGCAGGTGTCAGAATTCCTTTCCTTTTTAAAGGCTGGGTGCTGTTCCGTAGCCCAAATGTGCCGCATTTCGTTTATCCACTCACCCGTGAGATACTTGGGTTGCTTCCACCTTTGGGTTATTGTGACTAATGCTGCTGTAAACATGAGGGTGCAAATATCTCTTTGAGACTGTGCTTTCAATTGCTTTAAATATACACTCAGAAGGGGGATTTTGCTGGATCGTATGGAAGTTCTATTTTTAACGGAAGAAGCTCCGTCCTGTTTTCCGAGTGGCTGCACCACTGCGCATTCCCCCCACCAGTGCATAAGGGCCCCGTTTCTCCTCACCCTCACCAGCCCTTGTTACTCTTTCTCGGTGTTTTGCTACCACTTGCCACAGCAAATGCCTTCGTGCTTCTGTCCTGACCAGATTGTGGGGGCAAAGGGCAAGTAGAGGTTTCATGTCAGCAGGTAGCTGCCAGGTGAATTTCAACAAGGATGGTAGTCATCCACCCTCCTTCTTCCTTGGCCATCCTGGGAACTTTTTATTATTTTAAGTGGCCAACAGGGGCCAGTGTCCGAGGATGGGGCCTCAACTTACAGACTCATGTCTCTGAAAACGATGCTAGAACCACCTAAGGAATCACTCTTAGTGATTCCTTAGGAAGGGAGGGCTCTGTGATTTGGGGCCAGGAAGAAGCTGTCATGTGGTTTTTTGTTCCTACTCACCAAGTCGTATTTTTCAAAATCTCTATTCTCACACGAAAGTTATTTTTTTCCTTTTTATCAAAGAACTAAATGTTCACTGCAGATATGTTAGAGAGCCAGAAAGACACATCAGCCCTCTTCATGCTGTGCAATGTCAGACCTAAGGCCTTCAGGACCTGGCCGGGGGGGCGGGGAGGGACTGCCGCTGAGACCTGTGCACTGCGTGCCCTGGGTGTGGGCACTGCCCAATGTTCATGTCTGCTTTTGACAGGCAGGGTCCCTGTGGCGCAGATTCCAGCAGGCCTGCCTGACACCCCGAAGTCCGCGTTTTTCACTACATTACATGCACTCAACACACAGGGACATGGGATGAAGTCCTTCACCCAGAGGAGTGAAACAATCAAGATTGTGTCCTTGAACGTGTGTCTTAATCTGCACATTAAGAGCCGAGAGTCCCGTGCTGCAGGCTGTGCATGGAAGCGCCAAAAGGCAGCCTCCAAGAGGGCCGACCTCAGTGGGACAACCAGGGGCTCTTGGAGCAAGGTCAAGGGTGAGCCCGGCGTGCCAGGGGCCAAAGCAGGCCCAAGTCCAGAGGCTCGCTGCAGGACACCTGGGCAGAGGGCCGTCTCGTCATCCTGCTCATGAACTTGGTTCCTGCCAGCTGCAGCTCCTGCCTCTTCTGGAGTCACTAAAGACGTCTAGTCACAAGGCTCAGTCTGGCTCTAGGGTTGCCTTATTCTGGTTCAAGTGCAAATGGGCTGAGTGCTTTGAGATCTATAGGCCTGGAACCCCATTGCTAAGCTAGGCTTCCTTCTGTGGACTGACTCCCCTCCCCCTCCCTGCAAGCGGCCTTTCCCTCGTCCCATTCCCGACATCTTATCGTCTGCCATAAACTCACCCCAATTGCTCAGAGCACCTCGTGTGGGGTTACAGAGAAGGCCAGTGGGTCCTGGGCCTCGCATTCTTCCATGTAGGTGGGCCACAAAGGGCTGTCGCATGCCTTTTTGAAAGTGCGGGGAAGCGAGGTCTAGCGAACACCCACACTTCACGAAGACTTGACACTGAATCTCCCCAATAACCCCACTGTTAGCATGAGATGCTACGCAGTTCAGAGAGGCTTGAGTGATTTAGCCAGCGTCACACAGCAGGCGAATGAAGGGCAAGGATCAGAGACCAGGTCCACTTGAATCCATAGTTCATGCTCTTTCTATGGTCCCAAGCTGCCCGGGTTTCCAGGAGCTCAGCTTTGGATATGGGCTGCAGGGGCGGGGTGGGGAGGAAGACATGGTGTCTCTAAAAGCAGCCGTTCTCCGGTGTCCTAGAAGTCAGCCTGGCCGAGGTGGGGCTTCCACTGGCCCAGGGCACTGGCTGTGCTAATCATAGGAACTGACCTGGGCCCCGGTTCTGGCTCATGCTTCGGGGACCTGTTCCTCACAGAGAGCCTGCCTCTCTATCCTGGTCAGCTACGGCCACCACCGTTACCCCAGTAGTTGACCTCCTAAAGGATAGAGACCAAGCTTTTGGCCTGGCATTTCTTAACACAAATATCCATGGATTTCCTCTAGATACCAGACACGGGGAATTGAGTGTGATAGAACAAACTGGGTTCCTACCCTCCCAGGGGTATCCTGACTCTTACTGCGAAGCACACGGAACAATCCGTTAGCTTGCTTGTCCACATGCTCCATTTATTTTCTGAGGCTGAGTGGTGGCAAGCAAGGGACCAGCGCTTCCCTCAGGGTGGAGGGGAAGAAGGTCTCCTGCCGTGGCCTGGGGCGCACGCTGCAGGGTGATGGCGACTCCCAGGCAGCCCAGGTGCCGCTGCATGGCCTGGAGCGTCTCTGCATGGCTGGACTCAGAGCATTGCAGAATGGCCACGTCGGCCGGCGGCAGACAGCGTCGCCGCCGGCAAGTGGGGGACGGGCCACACTTCAGTATCCCGGTGGGCATTTCCCGTATGCTTTGGGTGACGCCTTCACTTTTCTGTTTGTCCTTGGAAGCGAGGCCAGGTGTCACCTGCTCCCGTAAGATCACAGTCATCCGGCCAAAGGAGACTTTGTCAGCTGGGTCTAGAGTCACAGCCGATGGGAGTCTCAGTCTTGGGGGAGGGAGAAAGGAGAAATGGGGAAAGGGAGGCTATGTCTGAGTGGCATCAGCTCTCAGCAGGGAGTGGGACCATCTGTCACACAAGGTTCCATGGGACCCCCATGGCTTGTCCATCCTTGGCTGCCTTGGTCATTCTGTGGGCATCACAGCTGGGAAGCAGCAAGTATCTCTTACCTGGAGGAGGCCTGAAGTGAGACTGGGCTCCACAGAGGGCAAGGTCGTGGGTGGGGCACCAGCTCTGCCACCCCAACACGCAGCCCCGGCACCAGGGTGCCCTGCAGCCTCTTCTGCCTGTTGCTCTTCCTGGGCACCGTCTCTGTGGAGCAGAGTCCCTCCTCTCACGGGGGACCTGCTCTCCTCAGGAACCAGATTCTCCTACTTAGCCGCACCTCACCAGAGACCTCTGGGCTTCTACCAAGAATAGGATACCCATTGGAAACAGATGATTAGCTCTAGAATCTTCCCCCTTTGCCCTCACCCCCAGAGGAACCCTCTCTCATTGCCTGTTTAAACACTTCTCCACACTCTGCCACCTGCTAATGTGGATGCAAATTGCTTTTGACAAGTGTAGTTGGTGGTGGGGGCTCAGGGCCAGAGAACAGATAAAGCTGAATTAATTCGGACTCACGGTGACCGTGACCAGAGAGCGGACGCTGGCAGAAATGGGACACGATGGGAGTGGGGGTGTCAGGATGGTTTTTAGAAAAACCAGATTTTGTGTAAGACCCGGAGCAGCGAGCGAGAGCTGGCCAGCGGAAATCTTCAGCAGGATCCAGCAATGAATAAAGTCTGGGCCCTGATCTGCCAGCTCTGCGACCTTGGGCGTGTTACTTAACCTCTGTTTCCTCACCTGTGAAATGAGGGCAACTCTCTCGTGTGTGAAGCATCCAACTAAGTGCCTGGTGTGCAGTGGGTATTAAAGATATCAGCCTCCACCCCTTACTCCCTGCCACTTGGCACCATGTATAAAATACAACGGCGGGGCGGGGTTGGGGGGTCTCCCACCTCTGTCCAAAGGCTAGTCCTGCTCAGCTGGGCTCCCTAAGAGAAGGGGCCGGTAGGTCTCAAGTACATTTTGATTTGTGGCCACTCAGATTTCCTGTCATACTCTGCTGATCCCTTTGAGAAACTGAGGCAATCAGTGTGATATCAGCCCTAGATAGTTGACTAGGTGGGGGGAGGGCAGGCGGTTCTATTGTGTAGTCCATCGCTCACGGTTACCACTGGACCCTCTTGGGCAGTGAAGCCAGCTCTGGGGAGGTAATGGCATGCTCGTCTGGGGCTCTGAGTGCCTGGGGATCAGGTCCCACAAAATCTATCATGCTTCGGCTGCAACAGCTCTTACCTGTGGGGGTGGGGAGACTGATTAACACAGGCCTTTGGTCTTCCCCCGGCCACCTACACGCACTCACCCAGTGTGTGTTGGAGGCAGATTTTGAACCCAGGTCTAAGTCAAGAACCTATGCTTGTAACCAGTTCCCCAAAATAGACTCCTGAGAAGTTTAAAACATACTTTTCTATGGTCAGGTGCGGATCCCAGGCACCTATGTGCTGGGCTCCACCCCAAGTATCCCCGGCTTCCGCCCTGGCCTTCCTCTGACTTGCTGCCCTGGAAAGGGCCCTTGCACTGCCTGCCTCCAGCTTTCAATGGGGAGAGAACCACTTGCCCTTTTTGCCCTTTTTGTCCTTTTCCACAGGGTGTCCAGGAGGCTTCTGCGGGGCAGGGGTGCATCACCATGCACGAGGACTCCTTCGTCACTTGTGTCTGTCAGGAGCAGATGAGGTCTGAAGAAGGAGATGCTGTTCCTGGAAGGCATCTGCCAAGTCTCCATCAGAGGGAGAGACCAGGGGAGGCTCTGAGCCCCACACACAGCTGAGCAGACGCGCCCGAGGTCCTGTGATTTCCCAGGCGTCAGCCGAGTGAGGAGAAGCAAGTGGACTCACCTGAGTCGCCAGGATGCTGTGCTTGATCCCCGTGTTGTGCGTTCCAGGCCCAATGGCACCAGCTGCAGTCACGCCTGACATGGGCCCAGGCTGGGCCCAGCAAGAGAGGGGAGAGAAACCCAAGGGACCCGTGAGGCTTCTCAGGGACAACGAACCCCCGTGTTGTGGTGTGAGGCCCCTCGGAGCAGAACAGTAAATATATTTCTGCCTGGGTTCTCGTCCCCAGCTTACCATGACTTAGCTTATCTCCTGCCCTGCCCTTCTCCTCTCCAAGCCTCAGTTTCTCCACACCTCAGTTTCTCCACCTCAGTGGCCTGTCTGATGAGCTGGTAGGGGCACAGCTCAGCTCTAAAGGGAGGCCTGCGTGGCTCTGGGGTTTCCACAGCCTAGAACTTTCTTTTTCTCTGTCCTCCATCTGCCAACAGTATCTTCTCCACCAAACCAAGGCCCCAATGCTCCCGCTAAGACTTCTCTAGCTCCAGCCTTTCAAGGCCTGGGAAGTCCTGGGGGGACCTAGTTCAAATTGCACACAGACAGGTCCCAGGCAGGTTGAGGAGGCAGAGCCTCCCTGAGCCTTGAGGAAGGAGGAGGAGGCCAAGTCACCCCCCACTCCTGCTCAGAAACCTTCAGGGCTCCTTGGCCCTCCAGAATAGAGCCCGCCTTCCACAGCCCAGTGGTCCAGGCCTGGAATAAATAGAAGACTCTATGTGCACAAGAGGACCAGATTTCTAAAGCAGAGCAGAACCCAGTACCCCTCCAGAGGTGTGCGTTCTGGGGCCAGGAATTAGAAAGATGTGCCCAGATTTTGGGGTCCAGGAAAAAGAGCAGGTCAGGAGTATAAAAGGCTTGCTCCCCAGGCGCTCTCGCTGAGACACCCCAGTGCTAGCCGAAAGGGGAAGGAAGCCCATATTTATGGAGGGTTCATTGGGTACCAAGGTGATGGGAGCCTTGCCTGGTACACAGGAGTTTCAACTCAAGAAATGGGCTTGGCATGGAGGGGCAGGGGCTTGACTGGATGCTGACCCGCAGCACAGACGGGGCCCCAGGGCAGGCAGGTCCCCAACGACACAGCTGGAGGACCCCAGAGGCTCTGCTCTGCTTGCCATGCAGGCAGACCATGATTAGCTATCTAGCATCATACTTTCCCACTGAGGCGGCGAGGTTTTCCCGGGAGCTGTCCTCCTGACCCCACAGGAGGGGGATGAAAGGAACCCGAGCCCTTTGCAGCCCTCCCTGCCCCTCCCCCCACCCCGTGTCTATCCTTGTCTCTGTCCCTATTCACTGGACTACTTGGTGATCTTGGCCCTTCTGAAAAGACTGGAATGTTAAAAGAGGCTCGTAGACATTCTGCCCTAGGGAAATGTGGGAAGGCATGAGCACAAAGATGTTCAGCACAGAATTAGGTACAACAGTGAAAAATCGAGAACAACTTAAATGCCACAAAGCGGGGGATGGTTGATCCAACTGCAATCCACCTACTCTTCTCTGTGAATTTATTAAGATGGAAGAACAATATAGAAGCATGCTGGCGACAACACTCAAAGAAATAAACTGGATCAAATGAGGCTGCCAGGAAGAAGGGCCTAAGAAGGGAGGAGCAGGCTTTGGTTCACAAGAAAGTGGAGGTGAGAGGTGAAGGGGAAACGCTGCATCCAGAGGCCATGGAGTAAGGCACTGACAGAGCCAGGAAAATGAACGAAAACCAGCCTTTACACTGTACTTGCTATGTGGGGCATCTCTAAGTCATCCGGTCCTCTGAGCGCCCCTATTTCATAGACCCATTTTCTAGATGAGAACTCTGAGGCCCAGGAGAGCCAAGGAACTTGGCAAAAGCTGGTGTGAGATGCAGGTGGGGCCGTACCCAGGCTGTCTGCCTCCGGAGCTGGGGTCCTCCCCAGGCTGCCCGCCGGCTTCTCCACAGCGGCGCCCTCCCCGGCTTTCCCGCTGGGTCCCTTTGGTAAAAGCCCCGTTGCCCCAGACCCTCTCTTCACCCATCAACGGGGGTTAGATCCCTCCTCACAGGGGTGGTGTGACAATGAAAGGAGAAAGTGCGTCAAGCACTCAGCATGCGGCCCAACACAGCTGTTCTTCCCGCGGCCGCCCAGCCGCTCCTTGCGTCCCCACAGCGCCTCGGCGCCCTAGACCCGGGCAGCCCCTGGACACACAGGACAGGGCAGCCTGACTCCCTCTGAGTGGCAGATGAGCCCCACACAGGCAGTCACTTGAGGGGGACTGGGTCCCCAGGGAGGATACAGACGTCACATACAGAGCACAGAGACACTTCTGGGCGCAGAAGCTAGTACTCAGAACTAACAGAACATGTCTCCTCCTGTTGCCTTTGGTCACAGACTTTGAACCACTGTCTGCGTAGAGGCCCCTGCACGCCCCACACCCCTCCCTCTCCTGGGCTCCTTTGCTGCCCTGGCTCCCGCCTAGTCATCTTGTAGCGCTCACCCCGGGGGCCCCCCTGCAAGGAGCCCACCCCGATTCCCATCCCCTCACCGGTGCCCCCATCTGCCAAGGCTGAACCTGGAGGCCCCCGGAGCCGCACAGTGCCCTGAACCCTGCTCTGACATCGAACCTACTTTTTTGCATTATACTTGTCACTTCGGTTGTCCTTCTGCCCCCGTGGTGAGAGATCCTTGCGCATAGGGCCTGGGCTTTTTATTCATCTTTGCCTCTTCTGGGCCTGAACAAGGCCTGCCTGGGGTAGATACCCCATAAATGTTTGGGTGGCCATGTCCCCTGGAGAGGCAGGAACAGAATGGCTTCCAGAGTGACAGGCATAACAGTGCCCCAGGGCCCACCACAAGAAAGCTGGAGCGAATGGACCACCCGTGCTTGAAGACCAACCACAGGCTTACAGGGAGGCAATTTCCAGCTGCAAAAAGGTTGCTACTCCCATGTCCAAAACACCTTTGTACCCTGTATCTAACGGTTGAAATCCCACAGTTAGATGTTCACTCCTTTGGCTGTGTTTTACTGTTTCCCTGGAAATCCTCTGATGTTAAACCTGAGCAATCACTGACACCATGTTTGGACAGAGAGAGGAGTGAAACCACAGGCAGATACAGCAGGAAGACCTGTGACTCAACCAGCACGCTCTTCTGCCCCTCTCGGTGCTTATTTTCACATCCTTTTGGCGGGGGACCATACGGTTATCTGTGGCAAACTTTAAGAAAGACTAAATCCATGCTTTTCCCACTCCTGTACAAGGCTGTTATCAATCCTTAGCTCATCTCTGGCCTGCCTCTATCTGTGCTCACAAAAAAGTCCCTGAACCCATGGGCATGGGAGACAGGTACCTACAGGGGAAAAACAGGGGTCCCCAGGGTGCACTCTGGGAAGGGCTCTTCTCTGGCTCCCGCCAGATTCTGAGTGTCTGGCCAAGGCCAGGGCCGGGGTGCCCGGCAGCTCTGGCTCACCCAGGAGGAGGAGGGCGAGGCCAGGTGGCGCTTATCCAGCTGTGGGTGCAGGTCAGCCAGGAGGACACCAGCCTCCACAGTCACCTGCTTCTTCCCCATGTCCACCTGCAAGACACCAGCATAGGCTTCGATGAGAGGGGCCGTCGCCCAGCCCATGTCTTGTGGCCAAGTTCCCTGTCCTTTTGAGCATATCTGTCCCTGTCTGCGGTCAGCTCAAGCCACCTCCCACTGCAAGCAGCCAAAGAATCCAAGGGCAGAGCTGAGGCTTTGGGAATATTCTTTGTAACCCTCTCTTTCCACAGGGGAAAGCGATAAGGAGCAGGGAAGAGAAGGGATATGTCCCTGGTCACTGGCAGAGCTGGGACTAGCATTCAGGGCTCCTAACTGCCATCACTGCATTTCCCCAGCCCACCTGGACTAGGAAGGTGGGGCTCCTTGTAGAGTTGCTGGAGTCAACCACTAAGGAGGGCCCACTCCTGTGGGGGCTGGGCTTTGCTAGATGGAGTTTAAATTCTCCCTACCTCTCACCTTGGGGGGACTTAGACAATGGCGAGAGCTGGACTGGTAGGGCGAAGAGAAGTAATGTCTATTAAGCTCTTACCCAGGGCAAGGAGGGTGCTATTTCCCGAGATTGTCATGGCAGCCCTGGGTGGGAGGAAGAGTCTCTCTTCATGTCACAGGGAGGAGACTGAATTTCAGGGACTTTAAGCCGCTTGCTCAAGGTCATGCAAACATTGGCAAGGAACTGAAATGAGAATCCACATCTGTGTGACTCTGAAGAACAAGCTTGTTCCATCGACCCTGAGGACAGAGCTTGGCAAAATCAATTGCTGGATCCCATCCTCACTAATTAGCAATCAGAGTTAATTGCAGCCATGACTGATATCTTGACCAGAATGTTTTGTACAAGGTGGAAACTGTCAGCCTGAGCAAATAAGGCAATAGTGGAGAGGAACTCAGAACCTCTGTAGAAGGGCTAGGTGGATGAGAGAGAAGGTATCTGGCAAAAATTACTGTTCAGGGGAGCTGAGCCCCATAGATGAGAATAGGAGTCCTGCTAACATGCTAACGTGCGGCACTCCCGGCCGGCTCCCGGACTCCCTGGCAGGCCCCTGGGGCCCCAAAGGCTGGCTGAATTGCAAGGACACTATCCCAGCAAGTAATTCACCTTCTCTGATTTGTTTCCCCATTTGTAAAACCAGTTAAGTGCAACTCCTGGATTTGTCGTTGTGAGTCCGCCTTTGGGGGCCTGACTTGCCCTTCTTGTTCTAGAGAGGCGGCTCTGGCAGGACAGGGGGTGGACATCCTCTCGATGGCCACAAGGGGGCGCACAGACCTGACAAGAGGCCTGAGCAAGCCCAGAGAGAGCTTTGAGGAGGGGAGATCACCGGCCAGTCAGGAAATGGGGTGTCAATTGGGGACTCAAGGGCAGGGAGGGGATCAGGTCTGAAAGGAAAGGCTAAGGAGTTTAGGTCCAGGGTTTGGGAAGGAGGCTGAGGCTGGTGGCCCGCAGAGGCAGGCAGGAGGGACTGCAAGTGCCTGGAGGATCCGGCTCATCTTGCCTCCGGAGATTATGAAGCCATCCCTGCAGGCGATGTCCAAGGGCGCGTGGCCACCTCCCACCACCTTCACCGGCTTGCTCCGCTGCCTGGCCAGGGCCAGCACCTGCCAAGGCAATGCCTGAGTCAGCCCCGGCTCAGGCCTTTCTCCAAGGCACAGGGCTTGCAGGGGCTGGCACCCAGGTCAGGCCTCCACGGCGCCCGCCTGGCTAGAGGCTGCTGTGCAGGCCTCTCCAGGAAAGAGACAAAGAAAAGGGCCAGGAGGTGAGCACAATGAAGGCACGCTAAAGTGGGGCTCCCGTGCACGCTTCCGGCTAGAGGCTTTTCTACACGCAAACCTGCCCACGTTCTCCAGCACAAAGCCTTTCTAGGACTCCCCAGTACCCCCGGAATAAGGCCCAGGCTCCTCACCTTGGCCCACACAGGCTTCAGCTGCTTCCCAAGCTGGAATGAAGGCTCCGGGGATGGGGGCAGTGGCTTTATTTGGCTTTGAACCTCCCACGTCTACTCCAGGCCCAGAGGAAGTCTCCCTAGCAGAGGCTTCCCTTCCCCAGGCTTCTGGGCAGGTGCTCTGGGGCTCCTCATCCATGCTCTGCTGGCTCACCCTCTGAACCTGTCAGTGTAAGAAATGTCCAAACAGTAGAGAATTTGTATGAGTTTATTTGAGCCAAACTGATGACATGTTCCGGCGAGCAAGATCTCAAACGCCCCCAAGAATAACAGTTTTGTAGTTTCTTTGGTGCATTTAAAATTAAGGAGGGAATTTCACCTGTAAAAAGGTGGGGGGAAACAAGGTGGGACCTGAATTACAGGATAATTACCTTGTGCTCTCTTGGGGGTGGTTATTTCGAAGGTGTGTTAATCTGGATGCACAGAAACAATGAACAGGGCTTGCTTATAGCAAAGATAAACCTTTTACTAAAGAAGTTATGTGCCTAGGGATGTGAGGGCGACCTGACTGCAACATCTGCCACCCCATTGATCGCCAGGGTCGATTCGGCTGATCTGGCTGCCTAGGCGGGTGTCCCCTTCCTCCCTCGCCGATCCATGTGTGTCCCTCCCAAAGCTTTCTTAGTTGGGAAGGACGACCTTGCCAACTAGAAGAGAGGACCAGTCTTCTTAGGTCAAGGGTATACAATAGCTGCATTCCCCTCCTAGAGCCTCCAAACAAGCTCTCAAGAAGTTATGTGCCTGGGGTGTGACTATCCATCGTCACCTTGCCCAAGTAGGAATTTATAATCAGAATATCCTGTGAGGTTACTTTATACAGAACTCCCCCCACTATTTTTTTTTTTTTTGTCCATAAACCTCAGTTTCCTCTTCAGCGAGGTGGGGCACTTATGCCTAATTCTCTGGGTTGATATAAAGGTTAGAAAAGATGTATGAGAAGCACAGGGACACAATTAGAGCTTGAAATGGCAGCAGGCTGTCGCGTATGCCCCCTCTTGCATGAGCTTACTGGGAAGGATCCTCGAGGCAGTTATTGCCTTGCCGCCATCCCTTAGCTCAGTGCCTTGCACAGAGCCAGCACCCGATCATGTTTGTGCAACAAATTAATATGTCATTAGGCATCTTGGCTTATCACATCTCTCCAAGTCAAGACCTGGTGTCTGGTGGGAAAGTGAGCAACGGCTCTGGAGTTTTGGAGGAAGAAAGACCAAGCTGGAGGAGTGGAGCTGGGGTCAGAAATGCACATGTGAAGTCCTGGGACAACGCGGGGTGGGGGGAGGTCAGAGTCACACCTGTGTCCCCAAACCAGGGTTTCTGCTGAGCTGCCAAGTATGTATGCATTCGCGTGAGCACAGAAATGCATCCTGCAATGCAAATCTACTGACAGCAAGGTGCGGTGGCGGCCACGTGCTCCCCACAGGGAAGCCCGGCTGGTGGACAGGATAGCTCAGAGCCAGCTCGGCCCCGGAGGGGGTGTCCCAGAGCCAGGGGAGGGGTCTGTGGAGCTCCAGACCACAGAACACAGCCAGCCTGGGGGGAAGAGAAGTGTGATGGGCTGAACTTAGCCCCTCCAAATTCCTCAGAATCTGGCTGTATTCAACAATAGGGCCTTTAAAGAGGTAATTAAGTTAAAATGAGGGCATTGGGATGGATCCTGATCCAATAGGACTGGTGTCAAAGTAAGAGATTAAGACACAGACACAGTGAGAAAGCCTTGTGAGGACACAGTGGGAAGACAGCCATTTATAAGCCAAGGAGGGAGGCCTCGGGAGAAATCAAGCCAACATCATGATCTTGGACTTCCAGCCTCCAGGACGGTGAGAAATCAAATCTCTGTTGCTGAAGCCCCCCAGTCTGGGTGCTTTGTCATGGCAGCCCCAGCTGAGTAACATACCATGTGGGCAGGCCCTGGGGCTGGGGTCTCCCAAGAGGCCTTCGTGAGAGAAGAGTAAGGGCGGTCCTCTCAGCCCTGCGCCTGTTTCCCTCGGACTGAGCCTAATGGAGGAGGCAGAGCCTGTGCACTCCAGGGCCGCCAGCTCCCACGCCCAAGGGAGGAGAGCTCGGGACCTCCCGCAGAACCTCAGACTTTCTGCCTGGGGGAGGCAGGGCTTGGCCGGGCAGGCCTCGGGGCCGAGGGATGGAGAAAGCCCCCGCCAGGCTGGCTGCTGTCCCTTCACTACACTCACTGTCCCAAAGCCCTGGAAGCACACTCAGGAGCCATGGGCAACAGAGGGGAGAGCACCCAGTCCAGGGGACAAGAGAGGCCCATGGCAGAGAGCGGAGGCAAGTGCTGAGGGACAGCCTGGTGTCTGTCATCCTAAATAACTTGCTTTCCACTCGCCCTCAAGCCCTGTCCCTACAACTTCAGGCAAAGTATGTCCTCCCATCCACAGACACCATTTTCAATGGCAGTCAGATCCAAGCTGTCTCCTTTTGGTGAATGCGCTCTGCCCTGGGACATTCTGGAAGCCGGTTCCTGGGTGAGGGCCGGCCTGGGAAGGGGCCCCCTTCTCTCCTCTGCTGAGATTTCTCAGTGCCTAGAGCCACGCACCAGGTTTTCTTTCTTTACCCTGAACTGTTGTCCTTGGATAGGATGCTTCCTCCCCCACCGCCAAGTCAGTCACATCAATTTTATAAATTGCCTTTATTGAAGAAAAGAAGTTACATAAAAAGGAATTTACAAATCAGCAAAAATGATGTGTATCAGTTCATTCAATCTGCGTTGCCACCATCCCGTGGCTGAGGTTGATTTATTTTTTCTTGTCTGAAGAACTCAGCTTGTTCAATAATTGCTGAGTCTTAACTTTTTTCACACAGTTGTTGGCAAGGGAAATTAATGTTACCATTTCGATGGACACTGAAGCTTATTTTTTGATCTCTTCCCTTCCTGTACTTGTGCATCAGTGAGAGTGAGCATTTTCATGCACAATTTGTATGTGGTAACGCAGCTCTTATTTCTTGAAAGACAGGGAACATTTGGGAGAGTGTTTAATGATTTCTGATCTGCAGATCTCACTTCCTCATCCCACTCAGCCAACTCACTCTCTTTCAAATATGACGTAGGGCATAAAGCTCATTCAGCCCACGACACGCAGTGAGACGGCGCTGCGGAGGTTCAGAATGAGTCACTCAAAGATATGCTTCAGTGGTAGGTGGATTGTTTTAAGCTAAAGGCAACAGAGACCCTGCAAGCTCAAGAGAAACTTCTGCCCCTGCCCTCTTAGCCACCTAGAAGAACTTGAATTAGGGGCCTTGCCCAGAACAAGAGATTATCAGCAACAGCGTTTTATGGCCTATCTCTATGGCAGAGCGAACCTCTAATTACTGAGCGCCTGTTCTTCTAATCATCCTTCAACCACCTTCCTCCTCTCTGACACCCTAAGGTGACCGAACGTTCGCTCAGGGTGTCTTATGTACCCATGTTCCCTTTCTGTCTTGGAACCTCTCGTGCATGTGGGATCTCTGACTCTCTCACGTATGCGGGGTTCCCTTACATGTTACAGGTATGTATTCAATCTGGTTCTTTTCCCTCGCTGATCTCCCTCATGTCTATTTGAGTATTAGACGAGCTGAAAGGGCCCAGAGAGGAGAGGAAACTTCTTCCTCCCTCCGAGCACTGACTAAAATACCCGCCGTCTCTCACAGCTCTTTCTCTATTTGAATCCAGGAAAGCTGAGGGAGGCAATGACCAAATGTCCATCCCTCAATCTAGCCAAATGGCAACAAAACCACTGTTTGGGGTTTTCTCTGGAATTTTATTTGAGTTGCATAAACTAAGAATTATTTCTGTCTCCTAAATTCTGACACAAACCAAGCAGTCACACAGGGTGCCTGGGCTGACACATTCTGCCCTCTGTCTTGGCACCAACATCATGGAAAACAGTGACAAACTGCATGCGAGGCAGAGGTTAGGTCCTCACCCAGGACCTTCTGAACGTGGAAGTGAGTTTTCCATTGGTTAAGAAGTGAGCATACAACATGCAGAATAGGAGGAAATGTTTTCAGATCATATATCTTGTGAGAGATTGATATCCACAATATATAAAGATGTCCTACAACTCAACAACTGAAAAACAAACAACCTGATTTTAAAATGGGCAAGGGATTTGCATAGGCATTTCCCCAAAGAAGATGTATAAATGGCCAATAATCACATGAAAAGATGCTCAAAATCACAAAGTATTAGGGAAATGAAAATCAAAACCGCAATGAGATGCCCGTTATACCCATTAGGGTGGTCATCATGAAAAAACAAAGCAAAATAACAAGTGTTGGTGATGATGTAGAGTATTGAAACCCTTTGCATTGCTGGTGGGGATGTAAATGGGCGCAGCTACTATGAAAAACAGTAGGTGCTTCCTCAAAAAATTAAAAATAGGATTACCGCATGATCTAGCAATTCCAATTTGGGTATATTCCCAGAAGAACTAAAGCCAGATTCTCAGACAGACATTTGCACACCCCTATTCACAGCAGCCAAAAGGTGGAAGCGTCCCAAGTGCCAACCCACGATGATCGATTAAAGATATGGCATATCCATACAACGGAAGATTGCTGAGTTTTAAAAAGAAATTCTGACACATGCTACAACATGAGGATCTTATACTAAGTGAAATAAGCCAGTTACAAAAAGACAACTACTATATGATTCCACTTACGTGAAGTAGCTCCAGTGGTCAAATTCATAGAGGCAGAGCGCAGAATGGGAATTGCCAAGGGTTGGCGGGAACGGCGAGGGGAATGGGAAGCCGCGGTGTGGGGAGATGAAAAAAGGCTTTGCAAGATGGATGGCGGCGGTGGTTCCGCAGCAGCGTGAATGTACTTAATGCCCGTGAGCTGTGCACTTAAAGAGAGTTAAAATGATAGGATTTCTGTGACGTATATTTTACCACAATAAAAACAGTGTGCACTTACAGGAGTAGAAAGGAATTGAAACATCATTGGCACTCTTTCAAAAGCAGGTAATAGCCTCAAAACCTTTGAATGTGAACATGACAACATGTATTTAGGTAAACTGACAAAGTGATTCCTCTCATACTATATAAACATGAAAGCTGTGAGCTACAGTATCATAAATCCTGCAGCTATGTTATCAAAATAACTATTGCGCTTGTGTTCCATGCAGCAGAAACCCACAGATGCGCGCTGACACTAGGTCGGTGACGCTAGTTTATCCCGTGAGTCCTAGCGAAGACTCCGAGGCGTCTGGAGTCCGGGCGCCACGGCCCTTTGAATGCCTTTCAGCTGTATGCCTAAGGCCTTAGCAAGACACCGGCCAAGACTTGGGACAGGGAAAAAGTCACACAATTGGCCATCCATTTCCCCCAAGGACATCAAAATCAAGAATTGAAACAAATTCATTTTTCCATTCATTTACTGATGCTTTCATTCTCAGATTTAGTCAGCAGGCATCTAATGAGCATCTCCAAAATGCCAGGCGGAGCTGGGTTAGGGTCAAAGGTGAGTAGTCACCTGGCCAGGTGGCCTTGGACCCCACAGTCTGAAAGGGGAGGCAGTTAACAATTGGGTGCAATGGTCCACACTTGGGGGAAATTTCTACAGTTGCTGAGGTAAGAAAATACTTAATCACATGTGGCAGCGTGGATTCTTTAAAAGAGCAAAATATGGTATTTCCCACCCAATTCTTGTTGCTAAAAGCTTGGAGCTTCTGACCTACGTATTTTAGCCATTGTTCGCTTTTAATTTGTGCTCCTGGTAATATTGGTGTGAACAGTGTGAAAACTGGCTTAGAGGCACTTCAAGGCCTGAAACTGTCATATCCCAAGAGAAAGGGAAGTAGCTTTTCGTGCAATCTATTCTAACAGACTCACTCTAGAAGATATTTCTCCTGGAAACCTTGGACACTGTGGGTTGACAGCCACTAAGTATGGGGACAAAACCTGCGGGTGACCTCGGCTGCTTCTGGGGAGCTCAGGGCTCCACCGGTGTGTGGATATAAGAGAGGACATGGGTCTGCCGTGCCTCTGTTCAAAAAAGCCATTTTCCTTAGCAGAGGTGGATATATTTGTCATATATGACTTTTGTAATCATGAAATAAGAGTAACATTTTATAATTCAATCAATTTGAACACACTCTCAGCAAGCTGTACTTAAAATGGCATCTAAAAATCGTCCCTGTGCCCTTTGCCACCACGATTACAGCAGCGACATGTGGCCTGAAGCAGCCCAAGCAGACCAGGAAACACAGCTCTGGACATTCTAGTGTTTTCTTAAGTAACCTGAAGACCTCTTCCAGTCTAGCATCTTTTATGACCCTCGACCTTGCCGGGGTCCAGCCTCGGCGAGTCTCAGGGTCCCCGAAGGAGAGATGGCGTCAGCGAAGAAACGGAGGGAGACAGTAGGGTGAGGTGCGGGAGGACAGCCAGACCTGGGAGTCTGGACTGACAGCCTTTAAGCTCAGAAACTTTATTTGTATAGGGATAAAACAAGGAACTGATACATGGCGTGATTACATCAAAGGTTACTACAAAAAATAGCACAGCATAGTACAGGGAAACTTAAAAACAATCATTTTTAGTAAAAGTTACTTTGATTGGAAAAATACCATCGTTTGCAGATATAACAGTACTAGGCAAAGATTATTCTGACCAGGAGGGCTATTCAGACATTCAAATAGAGCGAGAAGTACAGTATATTACCTCCTACTAAATGTCTATCAATTTAATTCTCAAAAATTAACAAAGGCTAAGACAAGTTCAATAGACAGAGCAGTTAGTCTATAAAAGTTACTTCTAAGCTTTTTGTGGCTACCTGCCTGGGGAGAGGATCGACGTCCCGTCTGTTCTGTTTAGGTGCAGCCCCTGTGTCATGTGCAGTCTTTGGAACGAACCAAGGTCACAGAAGGTTCAGCAGCCCTAGTGGCTACTCTGTGGAAGTTTAGCTCTAAGTCATACACAAAGAGGAGGATTTCTATGTATTTGTTCCCAAGTACTTAAGTCATAATACCCAACTAATTTCCCTGGCCTTTCCACCCACATGTCTCCATTCATCCATGCTCCTGCCCAGGGTACGGGAGGGCTAGTGGTCTCCATAATTCTGCGAGGTGGAGTCCCACCAGGGGGAATTCTCAATAGAACTCTTTCTCCACTTCTCTGGCAGTTGGTCTGCCCAAAGTCTAATACTAACTTTCCTGGCAGGGGAAGTGAGAAGCAGCGAGATGTGTCATGGGCTTTTGCTCTGCAATTAATAATTCTTTCCGGGCAGTACCCGAGGAATTGTGCGGGTTTTGAGCAGTGGAATACAAGCAGCAGGAAATCCCACCCCCACCATCATGCAGAGAGAGATGACCAAGAGATCCAGCCGTGGCTGCTTCTACCATGAAGACGCGCCTCGTCCGTCTCGGCTATGTCAAGGGTCGCCTGCTGGCCGGCTCCCAACGCAATCTTGAATGACTGGTGATATGGACTTGATTCATTTGGCCCCTATTTGCCAAAAGAATTTCTCAGGCATTTTTGATGGCTTATGGGGATTGCTGGATAGAATATTTGAAACTGATAGGGCGAACAGGTTCGCTTATTTGTGCTTCTCCTAATGAAGAGTGTTCTAAGATTCCTCCTTCCTCGCCTCCAACTGCTCCCTTATAAATGAGCCTGAACATATTGTTTTTAAAAATGTATGTAAAATAATGCTATCTGGCTTGTGTGGTCATTGCCCAGGTCACACGCTTGCCTTTTAAATGGGCGCTTTAATTCTCCGATGTGAAAGGAACAAGGTGGTGGAGGTGCGGCTGGAAATGGAAGGCCCTCGTATTAGTTAGTATTAGAAGTAGTTACAGCTGGTACTTCCGCAGTGCTTCCTCTGTGCCAAGCGCCACTCTAAGGCCCTGCGTATGGTAAATCATTTAATACTCACAACCAACCACTTGCAGCTTTGGTACAACCAATGTCCCTTTTTATAGGTGAGGGGACTGAGGCACTGGAAACCCTTTCTCGAGGTCACACCTGGTAAGCGGCAGACCAGGTGCCTGATCTAGATGACCTGACTCCAGGCTTAGAAAGGAGACTTTCAGTAGAAGGAGTTCAGCCTTTGGAACCAGGGAGCATGCGTCTGAATCTAGGCTCTGCCTCTCACTAGCCCGGCGACCTTGGGCAGGGCACCTGCACCTTGACTTCCCCATCTGGGAAACAGGAAGGGTAGAGACAGTGCATGTAAGGCTCCAGGCACACAGGGGTGCTCGATGACAGCCATGCTGGCCTTCCCTTTGCTTCCTGTGCACACACGGACACACACGGTCCTTCTTGCCTGGTTAGTTATACTCATCATAATTCATAATTCAAACTTTCCTTGCAGAAAGTACAGCAAGGGAGGTTGCATCTGTCAGAAGCATGCCGTGCTTGGGGGCAGGGAGAAAGGGCACACGGCCCCACCTGGGGACTTGGTGCAGGAGCCAGCAGGTGGGAACACTGCAGGCAAAAGAGCCCATCAGCTCAGGTGGAGGATGAGGAGAGTCGGCGTGGTATGCGCAGACATTCAAGATCAGTGATGCTAGAAGGCAGTCAGGAATCAGGGAGTGATTGGGGTCCAGCTGGGGGAGGGGGCCAGGCAGCGCATAGGCTTTGTGGGGCCAGCGGGGAGGCCCTGCCACGTCCAGATCAGACCCTGTGGGGGAGACCTGTTAGGAAGCTGTGGGGGCAGGACGCGGGGCAGGAGACGATGAGGACCTGAAGCAGGGCGGGCAACCATGCCAGGGGACAGAACCAGTGGGACATGGCTTCTGGGTGAGGCCAGGGGGAAGTCCTTAGAACATCCACCCTGCCTTCCTCCCAAGGACACAAACAATGGTATCACAGTTGTAAGCTTTATTAAACAAAGAGTTCCAGTCTCTGGGGAAATGCTTCAGAAGTAACTGCTGATTTTGCTGCCAAACTATAAATTGGTTAGTCAAAGAGAAATCACACCCTGGCCTTCCCACTTTGTCCCCCCACAGAGCACAAATCATCCTTAGAGGTAAAGTGATACGTTTATATCCGGAGAATTTAATCACCCATGATTTTTCCTGTACCTAAAAATTTTGTCAAATTTGAATCACTTCACTCAAAGAAAATCACCCTTCAGAACAAGGCTGCTCGTTTTGAGAGATGCGGTGAGGCCCTATCTCGGTGCCAAGAGCGGCAGCCCGAAGACAAAGGGGTTGGAGCCCCTGCTGGCGGCTGGCACGCATCAACCCTAAAGCTTTAAGACTTCTGGCGGGTCTCTGGCTTCACTCTCCAGCCACTGAAGGAGGATCTGATTCACCTTGTCGGGCCTGCAAAGGAAATGAAAGGCAATTCACACCTGTCTGGACCCTCTCGCCTCACACTAAGTGAACGACGACGAACCCCGGAAAGGCTTTCCTGAGGGTGAAAGGGAAGTCCCGATGTCCCCCACCCAGGGGCCCCTACTCCTTACTGCTCTATCTGTGTGAAGTGTCCACAATCCTTAATGTGTCTTCTTGTCAGGTGGGGAACCTGGAAGAAAACACCACCCGGAAAAGCAAGTGACAAAATGCAAATGGGCCTGGTTTCAGGTTAGTGTGGCGTGTCATGGAGGCCCCAGTGAGGAAGCACCTTCCTCTCTGCTCCTCACAGGCCGCTCTCCTTCCTGAAAAACTGCATTATTTAGGAAAGGAACGACCATTTACTGAGCAACTACAATGTGCTAGGTGTTCTGCATGCATTTCCTTACCCACAATCCTGTGGGGTAGTTGGAAAGATCAGAGAGGGTAGGTAAGCAGCCCAAGGCGAGAGCTGCCAAGCTGAGATTCGAGTTCAGGGCTGGCCTGCACGCATCACAGCGGTCTCCCTTCAGAATCATTCCGTCTCAGCCCGTTCACTCCCTGGAAAATGCTTAGTTGTTTGGTTCTTGCCATGCAGACATGGCTGCATCCCCTCCTTGGGCTCTCCGGCTGGTGGTCTGCATTCAGGGCTGTTTGGCTTCCCTTCTAGAACCCAAACCCTCACAGTGGGTCACAGCCATAAGTCCCGTGAGAGGGAGCAGCAATGCATCAGCTTGGGACATGCAGGTTTCTTCCTGCGCCGCCTTGAACCATGGAGGGATGTGGAAAAGGCTGGGGGAAAAGGCCATTTTTTCTCTCAGAGACGGGGGCTGCCACTTTCAAGCATAACAAACCTCAGCAAGGTTAGCAGGCAGTTACAAGGGGCTGGAAAGGACCAGCATGTGAATTTGAATTTCTACAGAAAACCCCAAGAGTTAGGACCAGAGAGAGGAGGCCCGTGGGCTCAGGGCTCTCTGTAGCACCTTCCTTGGCTGGATCCAGAGCCCACGAGGGGCATTGTGGCACCATCCCAAAACACACCCTCCCCGCTGTGCCTGGCGATGCTAACAAAGCCAAAGCCAAGCGCGGGTGAGCTGTGGTCAGCAGCTAGCTTGGCCACAGTGAGTGCCAACAGGGCTCCGTATTCCCTACCAATCTCCACTCTTTGAACAGAGTGAGCTTCCAATCCTGAGTTTGATGCCCATCGCTCCCCTTCGATGGCTCTCATGCCCACAGGCCCAACAGCTCAGCCTGGCCCAGAGGGCTCAGCAAGATCTCCTGGCCTCATCGAGCTCTGCCACTCCCCAAGCATGCGTGCGCCTTGCTTCTCAACACCCTGTCTCTTCCTGTGTTCTCTCCCTGGGCCTGTGCTGAATACGCGAGCAACTGCAGTACAGCGGCCTGCTGGAGGGCGGGGCCTGTATCTTATTCATCTCGATCTTGGAAACAGGTCCCAACACATTTAAGTAAAAGCCCACAAAATTAATAAATGAACGAATGAGTAAGTGAATGAATGGCAGACTCCATCAGTAGGAGAGAAAGGAATCATCAGGCATGATTCTTGCTCCCAAGAGGTGACAGCGATGTCACTGATGAAGCTTCTTATCAAGCAAGCGATTCAACAGAATAGCCCAGCCTGTCCTCTGGGACACCTGCGTTCTCTCAGGAAGCACCGATGGCCCGTATGCAGGACCATCCTTACCCAGTCTTCCATGTGCTTGGACATCTCAGGAGAGAAGATGAGGTCGTCCTCTGCCGTCACCATCAGGGCCGGAATCATGATCTGGGAAGGAGTGACAGGAAGTAGGTGCAGTCGGAGGGGGAAGAAATGTCCCCTTCTGTACCCTCCACAACCTAGGCCTTCCTTCCCCTAGGGCAGAGATGTGCTTCATTTCCGTGCTATGTGAAAAATACTACCCGCCTGAAAGGGCCCCCACCGGTGCCACCGTGCCCTGCTTGTGTCTCACATGCTTTGCACAAAGGCGGCATCGCTCTTACTGCAGATCTAGAATGGGGATGGGAGAGAGAAAATACATCTATCGGTCTTTCCCTCCAGGTCCGGGCTCCGAGCTCCTGAAACCCCCGGAAATTCCTAAGTGACATGAGTACTAGGGGCGTCTTTTGGTCTAAGGAGGCAGCTCGGGGTGTTTCCTGGGTGGCGCTGGTCACCAGAAAGACAAAGTCATAATTAGAAGCTGCAATTTTCAGCCCATCCCTCACTTCTCTAGAGAGGGGAGAGGGACTGGAAATGGAGTTAATAATTAATCCTGGCTATGGGAGGAAGCTCCATAAGACTCCAACAGCAGGGGGTTTGGAGAGTGTCCACACTCCCATGTACCGGGAGGGGGACGCACTCAGCTCCACAGGGACAGAAGGTCCCGCGCTCAGGACCCTCCTAGACCTTGCCCTGTGCGTTTCGCCATGTAGCTGTTCATCTGTGTCCTTTATCACACCCTTTACTCAGCTGGTAAGTGTAAATAAGAGTTTCCTCGAGTTCTGCCAGCCACTCTAGCAAAGACTGATCAAACCCAAGGAGCAGGAGCCTCAGGTCTATAGCTGGAGGAGGGTCAGAAGCACAGGTGACAACTGGACTTGCCACTGGTGTCTGAAATGTGTGGTGTGTGTGTGGGGGGGCAGTCTTGTAGGACTGTGTCCTTAATATAGTGGGGTCTGACGCTATGTTTAGGTGGAGAGTGTTAGAATTGTGTTAAATTGTAGGACACCAGCTGATAATGCAGAGAATTGGTTGGTGGGGGGCGGGGAACACTCACATTTTGTGACCAGAAGTGTCAGAAGTGAAGCGTTTTAGGTGAAAGTGAAGGAGGAAAAGACTGGAATTTTCTGATACAGATCAACTCAGTAGGGTAGCGACTGGCGTGGGTGTGTGTGCCTGCGTGTGTTTAAGAATGCTCAGGCCCGCTCCATGCCGTGGGACTGAACGGGTGGCAGCAGAAAGGAAAAAAAGATGCCCCTGGATGGAGATCGATAATCCTTTTCTTTGAATTAAATGAATGCTTCAAACGTGCAGCCCAGACTCCAGTGAGTGAATGGGTCAGCCCCAACGGTTATCAAGGTGACATTAATGGCAGCAAAAATTACTTCCCTTTTATCTCCTGACACATGGGGCACAGAGAGGTCATGAAAGCCTCCATTTAGCCTCTTTGTTCTCACTCTCCCATTATCATTTTCCAACAGTTTCAATTTGCCCCTGATTAAGGAATTTGCACTATTTTTTTTTTAACCTACATGCAGAACCACGAGCTTCTCACGGCACCCCGTGCTCCAAATGATGAGGGACCAGGGACGTTCCAAAGTGCTTTGGTTGCTGAAACTCATCCTGAGGGGTGGTGTAAACTCTAGAATGTTCCAGGTCAAAATGCAACCTGATGGTGGGTGTATGGGAGGAGGTAGGGGAGGAGGAGGATCCAAAAGAAACTGCGGGAGAAGGGGGTTCCTGATTTCAGTGCCGTCAGGGTCCCCCCGCAAAGACGGTCATTACGTGCCTCCATGTTCTGAGAGATTCTGTCCATCAAACTGCACTTTTGTAATTTTTGTCCATTGCAGATTAGAGTGATGCGAAGGATAACAAGCATTAATTGAACTACTCCTATGTGCTGGGTACTGTTGAAGCATTTTATGTGCATTCACCCATGTTATCTTTACACAGTGCCAGGAGGTAGGCATCACTCTTACAGAGTAGTTTAGCGTCCTGGCCAAGGTCATACAGGGATCAGCGGCCGGGCTGAACTGCCATCCAGCCCACCCTTAACCACTACGTTCTATGCTCTGTTGCCTCCAGACCTAACCCGTGAGGTTGACACCTCATCTGTTTTATTCACCTGGTATCCCCACGGCCCAGCACAGTGCCTGACACATAGCAAGTGTTCACGTTCGAATAGATAAACAAGATAACCAGGTCTCCCGAGTGAGCTGAGGACCGTGAAAAAGCAATTTCTCGTAGGTTTTGAACATTTTAAATGTAACCCTGGGATCCCATGACTCTCATTGCAGACCCAGAGGTTGGAAACCACCTTCTGCTTGATGAACAAGGAATCTGAGACTCAGACTGACTTGGTCCTGTGATAAAGCCGGAGGCTAAGCCCCGTCTCTCTGAGAACACCAGTGCTCCTACTGCGAACCGGGAGCTCCGCAATCCTGGCCCCGTTTGGGAGCCTCCCGGGCCCGTCTGATTCCTGGAGCTGGGGCCCCATCAGGAGACATGCGCCTTCCATCCAGACTGATGCTGCAGCCACCTGGACAGACCCATGCTCCGCCCCTAACGCCACCTTCTCTCATTTCAAGAGAAGCCTCAGCAAGAGATCCTAGGGGAGACTTTTGATTGGAGACACTTCTGAAAACCCAGAGGAAAAGGACAGAAAGGAGGAAGCCAGCAGGTCATTCTGTCCACCCTCAGCTCTGACCCAAGGGCATATCAGTTGGTCAGTGGGCGGGGAAGGGGGGCGGGCGACATTACCCCAGCACTCACCTTCCTTTCCCTGACTTTGCAGCTGTACTCCCAGTTCCTGTCTGCGTTCCGATACCAGTTCAGGGGGCCCCTGGCAGGCAGTTCAGGGAATAAAAATAGGAAAGCTTTAGTCAATGACTATGCTATAGACCCCACTAGGGTCGCATAGAGACAGTTTCCCAGGAAGAGCAAAGTTTCTGAAAGGAAAGAAGACAGAACCCAGGAGTCACGTCTCTTGCCCAGCACAATTGCGTTTTAACAAGCAAGGCCTAGTGAGCACACAGGGCTCTTGGAGCGGGCTGTCACGCAAGAGCAGGCTGTCACACAGAAGAGGGCTGTCATGTGGAAGTCGGCCCCACAGGATTCCTCACATCACCCCAGGGCTGTTGTGTAAGAGGGTGCGGAGCTTGGTTTAGCCCCCTCTCCATCCAGAGGCCACTCCCCTTCCCTGGGAAACCCACTGAAAAGGGACATCAGGGGGTGGGGCAGAGGGGTCTCCTCCGGGACAGGTGAGGCTGGCCCAAGGCCAGACCTAGAACACTCTCCCAGTCCTCGGGCATGGTTGGGGTTGCTGCCCTCGGGCCCTCAAGGCTCCGCCTGTGGCCCCAGGCCCTGGGAACACCTTGGACGAGCCATGCGTCCTTTGGGGACGTTTACCTTTCCCTCCTAAACAAGGAGGGGGTGAGACTAGATTATCTCAATACTCCCGTTCAGAGTAAATCTGTCCCCAAATCTGAGGCTCTTACACGGTCTCTTAAAAAAGAAAGAAAGAGAAAAAAGAAGACGCTTAGAGAAGTGATACAGATGGTGGTGGTGCAGGAGAAGCTAAAGGGCAGCCGCCTCCAGGGTTCACAGCCAAGGCTGCAGTGTGGCGGGCTTCCGGGGTGGGGCTGACCAGGCTGTGAGTGAGCAAGGTGTGGCTCTTCCTGTGTCCTTGGGTTTGAGGGAAGGATGGAGGTGTCAAGACAGAGGAATGAGAGCCCTGGCTGGTGTGGCTCAGTGGACTGAGTGCCGGCCTGCAAACTGAAGGGTCACGAGTTCAATACCCAGTCAGGGCATATGCTTGGGTTGGGGGCCAGGTCCCCAGTAGGGGACCCTTGAGAGACAACCACACATTGACGTTTCTTCTTCTTTCTCTTTCACTTCCCCTCTCTCTAAAAATCAAAAAAGAAAATCTTTAAAAGAAAAAAAGAGAGAGGCATGAAGGAGAGAAGAAGGATGGGAATGTGGTGAACTGCAGTGTCCTTGAAGAAACGATGAGCTTCAAAGATTTGCAAAATTTAAATATTTGAAGGGCTATGCAAGAAAGGGGCTCTGGAGCAATTTTTCGTGGTTGCAACGCAGGGGGCCTGAACTTTGGCATAAAAACCAATCGGAGAAAAAGGAATGAAGTGCTGACCCGGCTGCAACATGGGTGCGCCCTGAGAAGCCAGGCACAAAGGGCCACGTATTATATTCCATTTATGAGAAATATCCAGGGTATCTCCAGGCAAACCCATGGAGGCAGAAAGCAGACTGGTGACTGCCTAGGACGGGGGTGGGGGGCGGGGGCGGGGGGCGGATTGAGAAGGTTGAGGGAAGTGGGGAAGGGGTTGAGTTGCAGGGAGGAGGGGTTGAGGGGCTGGGTGGAGGAGAGGGCTGATCGCAAAAGGAAACCAAGTTTCTTTTTGGGGTGATGAAAACGTCCTAAAATGGAATGTGGTGATTGATGGCTACACAGCTCCCTGAATAGACTGAAAACCAATGAATTTCAGAGAGTGAATTCTATGGTGAGACAGCACCCAGTAAAGGAGAGAGAGAGAGAGAGAGAGAGAGGGAGAGAGAGAGATCTACAATCCGCTAAAAACATGCAATTTTTGGGTTTCTGTGTTTTCCTGGAGAAAGAACTCAGAGTTGTCATTGGATTCTCACAGGGGTCATGACTGAAAAAAGATTAAAGACATCTTCTCTTAAGGGGTCCCTAAGCATAAGGCAGAGTGAGGTGAGCTCTTCCAAACTAGAGTGGGCGGAGCATTCTAAGGTGGTGAGCCTCCCAACACTGGAGGCATGTAAGCAGAGGCAGGCCAGGAATTCACGGGGCTGTGGTGGAGGGGAACTGGGCCTTGCCCTGCACCCTGAGGGCACAACAGCCCCTCTTTGGGGACCATCTCTCTTCTGTGTTTTGGACACCCTTCTGTTTACCTGAAACCAGACTTCTTGAACTGCTGTACATAGTACTGGATATCCTCCTCAGACAGGAGCTTGCTGAGGCTGGGCTCTTTGGGGACTTTCACGAAGAGTCTTTCTGCAAAAAGACACGTTTTTCCAATCCCACGCCTGGGCAAGGTGTCCCCAGAACTAACGCTGGCCTTCTCAATTGAAGTTAAGCTCCTCATTGCCTCTCATGTCCCCCGGTGCTCCTTCATTCACTCTCTCTTAGCCACTATAAGCCCATCTCCTCTCAAGCTCCAAACTGGTGCTATCACCGTCATTCTAGAATGCAACGGAATCGCACACACAGGCCTCAACTTCCAGGATGAGCTCTAGGACTGACCATCCCCCTCCTGTCCTTTAGAAACTCACAGCTCAGTTCCCAGATGATGCCTGCCTTCACCTGTCCCCCGGCCCTGCCAGCCCTCCAGCTCTCCTCCTCCCCTAGACGAAGCCTTTTCTACACAGCTTAATGAATTATGTCCCTCTTCAGGTATCTCCACCGAGAGTGGGAATTTTCACAAGATCTTGATTCCAAAGATCCACAAAGGAAAGGAACCCAAGGCCCTGCGGTCAGCCCAGGGCTAAGGTAAGTGTTATTCACCCGCAGGGACCCTATGGTAAGCAAGTCACAGTTCAGCTGGCAGGTGGCTGTTTCTGCTCAGAGAAGTCAAATGGAGAAACACTCATTTAATGCTCAGCTGCCATGGCCCTCCTGTCTCCCTTCCCTCCTAAGAAGATCTTACCCATTTTATGGACGTTGGTTAGGATGGGAAAACTCTGTAGGGAGAAAAGTTAGAAATTATGTCATGGATGAAGTAGAGAAAATATACTGAACAGGTCATCTAAAAACCCTGTCACAGCGAAGACTTATGAGTGCCATCAGACAGTTAACAAACATGCTAAACTCCCAAGAGAAAAAGGCAAGTCCTCAGGGATCAAAGCAGAAGCAGCTAACCACCAAAGCTCCGGGCCAAGGCTGCCCCTACCGAGCCCTTGCAGGTCTTGTAAGAACTTGGGTTTATCAACCAGTGGGAACGAAAGATGAGACCTCGAGTCTGTGGTGTGGTGGATGGGAAGTTAAAATGAGATCCTCCCCAATCTTCCACTGTAAATCCAGGAAATCTGTGGTCCTCAGTTAAAAGGTGGACTCAAAAAAAGCCCACCCATCATAACAAGAAGATGCCAAAGGAGTTGATCCATTCAGTTTGGTACTAAAAGGAAACATAAAGTGTCCACCTAGAAATTCACAGCTACAAGCCTGCCTTCACAAGTTTGAATATACACTAGCTCCGTGATCTGGAAACCTCTAAGATGCAAAGTCAACAGCAACATCAGCAACAAAGTGAGGCTGGGCTGGTAATACCACCAGGATGCCTTACAGAAGGAACAAATGCTAAACTACAAGAGGGTCATTTTCTCAGTCCCGACTAAGCAGATTGGTGCAGATTCAGTGCTGGTGAAGATGAGCTCACAAACGAAAATTACAAAACTCCTTCTCTCCTCTCATCTCTCTTCTCTGTATCTCACGCCCCCACCCCCAAATCCCATTGCAAGAGACGGAAAACAGAGCAAATGGTGAAATAAGACGCTCCGACTATCAAATCATAGAACTTGCAGGGGGCGGGGCAGAGAATGAACAATGAGTGTGCTTAAAATGATTAAAGACATAAAAGGTGAACCTAAAAAACAAGAACAGAACAAGAGATCAAAATGATTTGAAAAAAAAAATCAAATACAACTTTCATAAATAAAAAAGAATGGTTATTGAAATTTTTTTAAAAAACCTTCAAAGATGGGTTAAACTGCATATTAGACGCTCCTAAAAGGCCGGTAAGGCGGTAGACCCAAGGCTAGTTCCTCCTAAGCAATAATAGGAGCCTCTGAAAGGAAAAAAATTGTCAACCTAGAATTCCATTCTCAAACTCTTCTTCAAGATTGAAAGCAAAATAAAGACATTTTCAGGCCAAAAAAATTATGAGTTTACTACTACCAGACTCCTGACAGAACGACAAAAGGAGCTCCTTCAGGAAGGAAGCAAGTGAACTCAGTGGAAGAGAGTGAGATGCTGAAAGTGATAAGCAAAGAAAGCGGCGAACATGGGAAAGTCTGAGCAGGCACTGACCACATGAAATAACGGCAATGACAGTGACCACTCACACCCAAGGCAGGCGACTGGTTGCGGTCACAGAAACAAACCATTAGAAGCAACTTAGGTTGTTCAAGAAAAGATTTAGAGATAGAAATTAAGTTTGAACTTTGATAAACAATGATTCATGTTAAAACGGGAAGGTAAAAATGGTATAATGTCTCAACTGTCACTATTATAATCATTCTTTGATTTTAGTTTCAAAGCCTTCTGTGACCGTTCCCCACCAATGTGACCGGTAGTGTGGGACCCCAAACACGCTGACTACAGAAGGCAAAGGAAAGAAGGCCCCCCGGCTCCTTCCCGGGCCCTCCCGTCCCCTGCCCCATCCGCGCAGGGAGGCCACCTGGAGACCTTTTGCACCGCTGAAGCTCCCCCTCCCTGCTACCCTGCCCACTCCTGCCCGCCCGCCCCGTGCCCCTCACCTCATCATGTGCTCTTAGGATGGTTTTGAAAGTCCGTTCCAGGTCCTCTTCCAGTTCAGCCTCAGCCACTCCCTAAAACAATCAAGAAAGCAAAATGACAAGACTCCACAGAAATCTTGGCTATCATACCCCTCCCCGATCTGACTGAAAGGAAGAATCCCCCAAATTCTGTCTCATCCAGCCTAAGTTTCATTAGAAGTGCATTCATTGCCATTTTCGTACTGAAACACATTTTTAAAAAATGTTCAAAATAAATACCAAGTGCTAACAGTGGTCCTTCCCTGGGAGGTGGGTTTATAGATGTTGTTTCTTTTCTTTTATGTTTTTCAAACTCCCTACACTGAGAACATATTACTTGTAATAATCACTTTAAGGGAATGGGGGCAGGGGCTAGCACAGGAGTAGGTTAGGGGCTCAAGGCGGTGAGAAGAGGGTTCCAAGGACTCTGAGAAGCCAAGTGGAAAAGCCAAAAGCTGTTCCCTTCACGCATCTCACTTTGCTGCAAAACCTTCAAATCCATCCCCTTCGATTTGAGCCTACACTATGAGAGGCCACCAGACTCCCACGGATTGTCTCCTAAGGGCAGCAAGGTTCCTTGTTAAAGAACTGGGACACATATCCTTAGTACTGGCAAATTCCCATGTCTTTCTGCCCCAGGGGAACGTCGTTACATTTAGTTGTCTTATCTACACACTGTTGTTTGGCCATTTCCGGGAAAATAGGCCAAGGGATGCTGACATAAAAAAGAGAGGTCCTACAGGCAGGGGTGATGGCTAGATGTGGACTGAGGCAAAGTGCCCTAGTTCTGGGGGCTGGGGAAGAGATTCTTGCTGGAAATGGAGGGTCTGCATTCACCTTGCCACCCCCTTTCCTTCTTACTCAATTCCCCATCCAGGGGCATTTCCATATACAAAAAACAGGGAGGCAGGTGGCAAGGGGCTTTAAGATTGATCAGTGGATCCTAATATACTGACTCAGGTCTCCTGGTTCCATGATTTTTAGGGCTTAAAAAGAAAATGTTAATGCAATCTGTGTTTTCCAGGAACTGAAAGCCCTTGGACCTAAAAGCTGTTACAGAACCAGTGGGAAGAAAGTCAGCTGTCCCTGAGGCATGGGTCCACCAGGTGCGGCGGCTCAGAAGTAAATAAAGATCCTTCCCAGACACCGTTCCTGAGGGGACCAGTGTTACGGGAAGGAACAAAGAGTATGGCGATGTCTTAGTCCATTCAGGCTGCTGTAACAGAACCGTAAATTGTGTAGCTTATAAACACAGACATTTATTTCTCACAGTCTGCAGGCTGGGACGTCCAAAGTCAAGGCACCAGTGAGAGCCCGCTTCCTGGTTCAGAGACGGTGTCTTCTCCCTGTGTCCTCACATGGTGGAAGGGGGAGGGGGGTTTTCTGGGGTCTCTGTTATAAGGGCACTAATTCCATTCATGAGGGCTCCACCCTCAAGACCCAACTGTCTCCCAAAGGGCCCACCTCCTATCAACATCACATCAGGGCTTAGCATTTCAACACATGAATTTGCAGGTGGTGGTGGGTGATGGGGAGGCGTCGACACAAACATTCAGTCTACAGCAACGTGCCAATCTATTTTTTCCTCCTCCTTTCCAACCGCTCACCTGAACATACCCAGCGAACAACCGAACGGGATTGCAGAATGGTTTCTGAATGGATGCCCGGCTTTCCCGCCTCCCTTATCTAACATATTGTAACTTCCACCTAGAACACTTACATCCTTCAGCTTGGCCTTCAAGAAGCCTTCAACACCTGTCCCAAACACTGCCTCCTCCATGAAGCCCTGCCTTCCCCCATCACCATAAAATAACTCTGCTCTTCTTGGATCCCGGGGACCTTTAACGTGCTCTCCCTGGAGCACCCAGAGAGCAGGGAAGCATCTACTCGTCTTGTTCCGGGGATTGTGTATGACTGGTCCTGGATAGAGTACAGGCTGAAGGTATGTTTGTTCCTCCCCCCTAGTAGTGTTCCCCAAGCGGAAGATCCTATAAGCCAGGTCAACAAACATTGTAGTGACTAGCAGCCCTCTGTCCCTGCGCACTGTAAGGGGCCCTTCTCCACCGCACTTCATTTGTTCTGCACACTGCAAATCATGGAGCGCTGGATCTGGGAGCTGCCAGCTCCGCAGCCCAGGGCACATCCGTCATCAGGCAGCACTGGAACTGCAGTCTGAGCTTTTCTGAGGAAATTGATGTTGGCGCATTAATTACAATCCCCTCACATGTGTAAGATTCAATTATGACAGAGAATCAATCACGGCCCTCTGCTACGTAATGAATGCCGAGGCCAGAAATAAGCGTGGGAGAAGTACATTCTAAGTGATCGATGACAGCCCCGGTCAGCCTGGCGTGTTGCCACGGTCATCGCTCTCATTTATTGAGAGCGGCCTGCATCCCAGAACCACTGCGGCTCAGGAGCTCAGGGTGCATCTGTGTGTGGAGGCATCTCCGCAGGCACAGAGGTCTGCACAGGGCTTTGGCCCTCAAAAGGTCCTTAGAAGAATACACAGATGCCAAAAAACAAAACAAAACAAAACAAAAAAGCAAAGGGAGCTGAAAGGTAAATAAGTCTGCGCAGCCCCACAGAAGCACATCAGGTCAACAGAGAGAATGAGGACATGGGTCAGTGCCAGAAGGGGAGAAGCTAAGAGCATTTGTACTCTGGTTGTGTGCCCTGCTGAAAGCATCGACTATCCGTAATTTATAAAAAAAATTTTTAAGTTCTACAGACCGACGTAAAGGTTGCTGTCTGCCGAGCAAGATGAGGCTCCTCCCTGTGTGCTCCCGAGCATAGGACTTAAATGATAGACTTTAGAATCCGACATCATGGTTTCAAGCCCCAGTTCTGAAAGTTATTAACGGGGCAACTTAATCTTCCAGAGCCTCAGTTTCCTCATCTATAAAATAGGAGCTTTATTTTCTTACAATCCCTGACATATAAGAGGGATGCCAATAAATGGTTATCATTATCATCATAATTATTATCTCCATCATTAAAGTTATCAAATTGCATCAGAATTGTCTACTTTTGGTCCTGGACCCCTCACCAGCCTGTGAATTTCTTAGGGACAACACACTGTACCTTATTCACATTTTAATTCCCACTGCCATAGCATCGTAAGAGTAGGTACCCAGCAAAGCCTAGATGGATGGGAAGAACAGAGAGAAGGGAGGAAAGAAAGAAAGGGACATGAGATAAAGACTTAGGAGCTAATATCTTATAAATGAGCAGGCGAGTTGCGGCGTTGACTTTTCTGTGCTCTGCTGCAAGCTCCTGTTCACCAGACAGGGTGATCCCCCTCAGGCTTGACGGGGAGCTGAGCACTGACCTCCAGAACAACGTCAAATGAAGGCGTCTGATCTACTGTCACCCAAAAGCTATCACCAGCAGTAAGCAAACTGAAGAAAGTTCTAGGTCCTAAAAGAAACTCCTTAGAAAAAAAGGCTTTGGAATTCCATGAATCCTGAAGCTTTGTCTCAGAGTATGTTTAAGATTAAAGCTTTCCTCATCGGCTAGTTAGAAATGGTGTGAATGACTTGAAGAGTAAGAGATCAACCTTAGAGAATTTGTCAGAATCTCTTGGCCTTTCTTATTAACCAGGTGCATTTTTCTCCCTGCTTCTTTCTTTTAAACTTGAAATCACAGACACTCCTAGTTAGAAGGACACTTCTAATTCTTTCCTCCTTGGTTTCTATGGCTTCCAGATCAGCATCTCCAGCTTTGTACTTACTCCTGAGATGTATTTCCAACTGTCTGATAAGCATGTCCATGCGGATATCACACTCCTCAATGTGATAATTACAATTAACTTTAAAAAACAAAAAAGAAAGTGTAGTATTTGATGAAATGCCTTTTTATGCATGCCCCAGTGCCAGCACACCTCACCCTAATGGTTTGAATAGTGATCCCCAGAAAATAGGCCAAGACTAAACGCCCAGTACCTGTGAATGTGACCTTCCTTGGAAACAGGGTCTCAGTGGATGTAATTAAGTTGATGAGGGATCTCAAGATGAGGGATGGATCACGAAGTCAAGGAGTAGCAAGAGTTTCTGGCAACCAACAGAAGCTAGGAGAGAGGCATGGAATGAATTCTCCCTCAGAGCCCCCAGAAGGGACCAAATCTGCTAACACCTTGGTTTGGATTTTTATCCACGAGAACTGTGAAAGAAGAATCTTCTGTTGTTTTAGAGGTTTCTAAAGCTACCAAGTTTCTGGTCACTTGTTATGGCAGCCTTAGAAAACTGATCTACCACTTCAAGGAGTCTCTGGATTTGAGGGGTAGGTAAGGAAGGAAAAGGTTAAAGGTCTGCATAGCCTCTGGGTGCCCTGGGGCCCACTGAGCAGCAGGGTGACGTGTGCTGGCCGCAGGGTGAGGGTGCAGAGGTTCCCAGGACCCACAGCGCCCAGAATTCTCCTTACACCCCCTTTCTTCCCCATGCATATATTCAACTCACTGTAAGAGGAGCCCCAGAAAAGTAGGGTACAATAAAGAAGCCCAAGGTCGTTCAGGCGTTTCACCAGAGTGCTGGCAGGGACAGAGGGCTGGGGAGGTTGCTCCAGCGGAGTGGCCTCAGAAGGGGGCCTCAGAAGGGGGCCTTCTCCAACTCAGACCTCCTGACAGACACCTCCTCCCTCTTCGCCAGCCCAGCAGAACTTCTCTTTCATCTTCCCTTTTGTTCTTTCCAGGACATAGACTAGGTCCGCTACAGAAGGTGCCCTTAATTGGGCCTATTGTTTCATGGCAACAAGAGTGGCGACAGTGGCAAGAGCCACTTCAATCAAACGGCAGCTCCCGCAAGGCAGGCGCCCAGGCAGCTTGCGGAACTCTATAGCTGAGACCACAAGACACTGACTCAGAGGCAAGATGGGCGGATCCCTCTGATCAGTGGGTTGGAGCCAGCAACTCTGCCTCGTGTCCCGGCCACCTTCGTGATTACTTGAATTCCTCTGACACTCTGGGGCAGAGCTCTCTCAAAACATGCCAGGAAGCATGGCGGGGGCGGTGGTCCCTGCGGCCGAGGGTGCCAGTGGGTAGAGGCATCTGATACCCG